GTGTGTCTGTCTACTGGTAAAGAATTAACTCAGTTATCATTTTCCTTCGAGTATTTATTTCATCTTCAGTTCTGCTGGGCATTTCCTTCTGGATCTAGGGTTATAAGTTGGCAGTTATTTTCTTTCAGCCCCTTAATTCCTTCTTTCTTCCTTCTTTTTGTTCCTTTCTTTCTTCCTTGTACCTGTTTTATTCTCTGGCTTTCACAAGTTCTGCTGAAAAAAAAAATCAACTGTTGGTCTCATAGTTGTTTTTCACTGGGGCGGAACATTGCTGCATTGTCCCAGGTACCTTAAAAAATTCGTTTTTTTTTTTTTTTTTGGCTACTTTTGGCCATTGTATTCAGTAGTTGAGGTGAATTGAGAGAGTCAATGGCTTTGACTTTCCCTGGCTGTCGTTGGAGAGAGCAGGTGGAGAGGGAGGGAGTGAGAGGAGATCGGAGGGTGAGAGATAAAGACGGAGGAGTAACTAGTAGCTGACCCCAGAAGATCAGCAGCAGGTTGGGACCCAAGGAGACGGCAGGAGACAGAGGGACACCCTCCCGACAGAGAAGGCCCAGCACTCCTGCGACAGTGTTATCCAATCTGACATCTGGTATTTCTCTGCTGTGTTCTGCTTCCCTGAAAGCCCTCAGCGAGGAGGCAGCAGTGTTCTCCTCTGGGTCAGCACAGGAGAAGAGTTACAATGGTCATTTCTTGGACAAGGCCCAGTTTTCCAGAGCTGCTATCTTGGGCTGCTTGGCTGCTGAGGGATTAAAGAAAAACTGCCTCCCCCGCCACTCCAGAATTTCCTGTCCCGCCTTGTGTCTTGTGGTCGGCTGAGAACGTTTTCAACTCCCGCCTCCCATTTTCTCACCAGCTCTTCTTCATGGTTAGGGTGGTTAGAAATTTGCAAAGGAAATGATTTAGCAAATCCAGAGATCTTGGCCACGGGGCCTGATTTTTCAAGGCCCTCATTTTTGAGGGCTGAAGGATTTTGCACATGAGTGTTTTAGCCTCAGCCGGGGTTGGGGCTCTTCCTGTTTTTGTCTTCTCAAAACTGCTAAAGCTACTTGTGAGCAACTGGCCAGCAAGATAGGGAGGGGTGGGGGGTGCAAGAGAGAGGGCTGCGAGCCCAGCAGGGGGGAGGGGGCGCTCCCCCCAGCGCTGGCAGGACCTCTGTGACAGCGGAAAGATGTTTCTAAGACATCTAGGGGCAGACTGTAGCCCTGAAGTGGGGAGAGAAGAAGAAACGAGTCCTAGCAGGAGTGAGAATGGGCTGACAGATGCTCAAAGGGCAGCTGAATCTCAAACTGTTCCTGCAGCGGGAAGGCTTATCAGGCCCTGGTTATGGGGCACAGTGCCACACACCTGATGTGAAAGTGAGGCTTGGAGAAGTCGAGATCTTGCTCAAGGCCACAAGGCTAGTGAGCGCAGAACTGGGATTCCAGCCAAGGCCATTTGGTCCAGAGCTTGTGTTCCTAACCACTCCTCTGTTCTGAAGATGCAGAAGGTGACAGGTCTGTCACCGGGACCGTTGTAACACAATCTTCATTGATTTAGACCCAGGGTAGGAGCTGGGACCCTAACCATGGCTGCTCCCTGATTTTTTTCCCCTCTGACTGGGCTGGGCATTTGCCTGCATGCTCTCGGGTCTTCTTCCCAACGGCCCTTCAAACTGCAGTTTCCCAGGTTGCATTGCCAAGTGGCTCTGGTTGGGAGAGGCCAGTGGGGTTCCCCGGCTCCCATAGCAGATCCCCGGCTGGCCCAGCTCCCCTGGGCTTCTCAGCATCCTCCCCCCCCCCCCGCCCCATGCACTTGGCCTTCCACATCCTGGGGTGCTCACGGTCCCTGGATCTAGTACCTTTGCCTCTCCCTTGCCCTCTGTGTCTAAGAGAAGCCCTGGCCTCCGTATTTCTGCCTCTGCTGCCTCCTTGCCTTAGGACTCCTTCGGGCCTCCTCTAGCATGTCTAAGACTCGTGTCGTATTCACTTCCCTCCATCCCCATCCTTGGTAGGGGCTCAGTTTTCCTGAGAGGACCCTAAGTGAGATGCAGACGCTGAGACCAGCACGTGATGCACTTGTTTATTGGGGAGGGGACCCCAGGAAGCACAGAGCAGGGAGGGTGGGGTCAGGAGCACAATGCGACTGTGGGCGGCTGTGTCAGTCCTGCTGAGGACCCTGTGGGAAGGCCCAGAAGAACCTCAAGTGTGTCCCGCTGAGAGATGGGAACCTGATAAATCCTTGGGTCATCTCCCTTTCCTCTTTGGTTAAGGGTTGCCCCACGGGCATAAAATCTCAGATGTTTCCAGAAAGCCCTGCAGGTGGACTAAACAAGTGCCCACTGCCGCTGCAAAAAGCCACCAAAAAGGAACGAGAAGGCTGGGGGCGTTGAGCTGGGAAGCTGCCGGGGCTGCTGGGCGCTCAGCGGTGGGCTGAAGAGCCCTCGGGTGGGGCATCCGCGCCTTCTGCTGCCATGGCAACCCGGCTCCTGTTATCAGTAGGTCCAACAAGGAAAGCCAACTACCCTCCGGAGGTTTCTCTCTGCTTCAGCATGGGTTGAACCCTGGGGAAACTGGCGTCTTTCTTGGTCTTCTCTCCTTCCTCCTTTCTCTCTCTGCCAGGCAGCTAAAGACTCGGTGGCTTTTGGGCCCATGAAAGAGAGAACCTGTGTTCTCCCTGGACAGATGTCACCTGCACCCTCAGCAGGAATGCTTCCTGCGCACTTGTCAGCTGCCCGCTCTGGACTCTCCCTAAGAGGCTCCCATTTCCTGCCCTCAGCGGCCCGCTCGCTCAGAGAAGTGTCTTTATTATTCCCATTCTAGAGAAGGACAAACTAAGGCTCAGAGAGGCAAAGTTACTTGCTCACGACCTCACTGCCTTGGACCTCGGCTGTGGATCATCTGGGAGGATGGGTGGGCCAAATTCCAAGTCCACACTTATGACGCTTGGGAATGAACATTTATGTGTCCTTTTAAGAGCTAAAGCCACTTAGATGTTGATCTGAGCATTTGTTACAAACTTAACAGAATCTTAAAAGGAAAATGATTCACTTTATAATCAACATCTGGCAGATAGTTAGGCCACTGGATGAATATTACTTGAATGTCGTTGGGATTGGATCCTACCCACAGTCAAAATACAAACCTGACTTTGCTACTCTCCAGCTCAAGTCTCTTCCTAGGCTCCCTATTACCCTCCGCAGATAGCTTTTCTTCCTTTCTTTTTTTCCTTCCTTGTGCTGCTGGGGAGGGAACCCAGGGCCTCCTGCATGCTCAGCATGCCCTGGGCCACTGAGCGACATCCCGAGCCCCTAGACAGTTTAAACTTCTTACCCTGAACTCCTTCCTACATGTCCAGACGGATCTGGCTGGGCCGCTTCCCGCCTCTCTCCTCCCGCCCTGCTCTGACTTGCTGAGCTACTTGCCCTGCTCTCTCTGGACTCTGCTCTAGCCCTTGCTGCTCTTCTGGGGACTCTATCCTTTGTCAGTCAGGCTGTCACCATCTCAGGTGTGCCCTCCAGGTGGTCTTCTGCTGTGCTTTCCTCTGGGTCCCACGATGTCCCGTGGCATCACACCATAATCCTTTTGCCTGCCTGTCTCTTCCACGGGCACGAAAGTGGGCCTTTAGGACCTTAGGATGGGTTTCCACCTTGGGCAAAGTTGCTTTTTCTCTCTCAGCCTTAGTTTTTTCCATCTGTAAAATGACCAGTAAACAAGATTTGTGGGATGCACGATGCCTGGGACATGGCAAAGTTCAATGCCAGCTTTTATTATCTGTGCATGGTCAGGGCCAATGCTCACTGAAGTGGCAGCTCCTCTGAGACCAGTGGTTTTCAGAGTCTCTCCTACGTTAGAACCACGGGGAGGGCTCCGTAGGACAGAGACCAGGTCCTGCTCCGAGAGCTTTTGATCCTGTGGATCTGGAGTAGGGCTTGTAATCTGTATTCCTAACACTGTCTCAGGTAAGGTGGATCCTGCTGACCTGGAAGCGTACTTAGAGAACCACTGGGCTGGCCACGTGTGGAGGTGGATCTCTGATGAGAATGAGCAACACTTGGAGCTAAAACATGCTCATACAACAATATAAGGCAACCTGATTGAAGCAGGAAGTCTCTGTGGAATATTTATTTATCAATTTATCCATGCAGCCAGCACTTATTGAGCATCTACTACTCCAGGCATTGTGCTAGACACAGACCAGAACAGAGCAATCCATGAGATGAGCCAGAAGGCCCCCCATCCCTATACTTTGGAGGGAGGAGCTTCCTAATTACCCAAGGCCTATCAATCTGAATTTAAAAGGTGATTGGTTGGGAAATGGCTCACCTTAAAAATACTGGTATTGAGGACAGCGCGAGTTCACCAAAATGGTTAGTTGACACTGACAATATTGACCCCCAACTCCCCTTGCCTGGAACAGCAGCCGTCTCTCGGCCACTAGTTTGAGGATGAAGTCAACCCATACAACAAGGCAGAGTCTCAGAGAACCAGGGTCAGACTGTGACCTGACACCTGTTGCAGGTAATGTTGTGTCTCCTCATTGTTGCTATCAGCCAGCACAGAGTCTCAGATGGTCAAAGCCAAGGCTGTTACCAACGCCTATATGTGAAATAATCCAGATCTTCATTGTTATTATCGTGATTAGCTAATTTGACTTGGGGCTTTCTGTTAGTTGGCCCTAAAGCACCCTCTAATAGAGGTGCTCTCACTAAATGCTCCTTGCGTGCCCCCCAGTGTGCCTGTCAGCGTGCCCACCTCTGCACCAAGTGGCTGGAACCATCTCCCAGCTCACGACAACGACTCCGCCTGCAGGCCCTGTGGCTGTTCCACTGTCACATCACTTGCCCAGTGGTCAGGTGTGGAGGGCGGGAGGCAAGGTGGCTATGTGGGGCCTGATGGACCAGTAAGGGTGACTGAAATGTTTCACAGTCACACAGCCTTGGTCTTGCAGGATGGAGCACATAAGGATGGAGACACACTTGCCTTTGGAGGGTTGGGAATCATAGAAAGCAAATGACTTGCCTGTTTGGCCTTCTCGCCTGGTCGTCCTCATCAAACTTGACTGCTTTCTAGAAGCTGATCTGCAACACACTCCGGATACTGCTTTGGCCCAACTTCCTTGTTAGGCGACCTTGGGAAAAGGCCTAGAGATGGTAGGACCCCAGGTCCTGGAGTGCCCCCGTGTGGCTAGATTTGGGGACAGTCGGCGGGTAAGGAAAGACTTTCCCTGGCAATCATTAGCAGAGGTGCAGCTGGGGGCCATTTTGTCAAGAAGTGCTCATTTGAAAAACAACAACAAAACTCACACAGGCGCCTGCCAGTCACCCCCATGATGAAATGCAACCAAGGAAGCAATTAAATTCAATTAGGGGCATTTGGCTTTAAATTAGATAATGCATTCAGAAAACAGTCTGTAAACTGTAATGTGTTCCCCTTACTCCTGTGAAATTGCCTGGGCTGCTGCTTCTGCCTCTGCCAATTAGAGGCCTGGGGATGGAGAGCAAAGAGGGCAGCAGAGGCTAAAGAGTCACACTCCCCAGAAAAACCAATTTTTGCTAAGGGTTGGACCCTGACTGACGGAGCAGGGCGTTGGGCCTGGGCTGCAGAGCTGCCTTACCCATGTGCAGAATCTGCTGTTCATAATTTCTTTTCTTCCTAACGCAGCCTGTAATTTCCAGGGGACCAGTGCCTCTTCGTTTTCACTGATAGAACAAACAAAATCTTGACCACGGAGAAGCCTAATTCTACTCACCGTGCAAAATTGCCTTCTTAAAAGGCTTAAAGGGGGCACTTAGAGCATGGTGAAAGCCAAGCCCCCCAGCCGCACGTGGCTGCAAAGCGCCCCTCACCCGCCCCCAGTGTGAGCAAGTTAGACTGGCACATTTCCCTCAGGGCAGTAGGAGAGGTGACCTTGTGTTTTAAGGCTTCAGATGAAGCTGGGACTATTTGACAGAAGAAATGACCCTGTCAAATCCTGGCTGCACAGATCTGCTCTTTTGCTAGGTCTTTGAGAAGGATCCAGAGGGACATGTTCTGGCCTCTTGGAATCTAATTTAATGGGACCCCAGCACATCTGGACTCCTTGCAAACAGTAAGGGCAGGAGAGAGAGAGAGAGAGAGAGAGAGAGAGAGAAGGAGAGGGGGAGAGGGAGGGAGCCTGTGTGGGAGAGACAGACAGACAGACTGTGCTTAAATCCCTGACAACATGCTTGAAGAAAAGGGGTACAAACAACCAACTTCCCTGCTCTCTTTTCTCCCCTCCGCTGCAGTTCCTGGCGGGTTGCTTGTTCCCCAAGGTGGTGGATTCAAAGGGGCCTCCTGGGCTGCTGGGAACAGCTGCTTTTTTGAATAATTCTTCTATGGATATCAGTCAAAAGTCACCGTTAGCTGGAACTGGAAAGCAGAGCGAGTGTGTGTGTGTGTGTGTGTGTGTGTGTGCGCGCACGTATGTGTTTGTGCATGTGAGAGTGTGCGCATTCCTGTGGGTGTGCGCGCATGGTGGCAGCCATTTCAGGTCACCAGCGCCGTTCCTGGAAAGGCCACATCTTCTTGGCATGGGAGAAGATACACTTCCCTGTGCACCTAAAAATAAACCAGTACAGAAGTCAATGAATCACCCTCATCGAGAGGCACCTTTGCCCTCCCGCGGGCTGTGGCCCTGTTTCCCGGAGGGCAGGCTGCAGTGACAAGCTGTGGCCACTTGGGCTCTGCCTCTGTCCCCTTTGGGGATACAGCTGGGCTGGGCATTGGTGGAATCAGTCCTTCCCTGAATCCTAATCCTTCTGTGTCCTCAGGGTTCCCCTGAGCTCCCCTGCAGAATTTCTGCCCTTTTGTACCCTAGGAGTGGAGATTAGTGTTGTTGTAAATGCGGCAGGAATGGGGAGGCAACTGAAGACAAGAAGCGAGTGCGGGGAGCCAGAGACCAGGACAGGACACACACAACAGAGTGGAGTGGAAACTCGCTCTTTCCACAACAGCTGGATTTAGGGTCCCCCAGTAAGGCATTTTTTGAGTTCTCCGTGGTTTACATGTTCTTGCCTTAAAAAAAAATTTTTTTTTTTTCATTAAAAGATTTTTCTTTTCTTTGGCCCTGGAGGAGAGCACACCAGTTATAAAAAACAAAAAACAAAAACATCTGCCATGCTTCATGGAGTCTCGTCAAAGAATGCTTTTTTTTTTTCCCCTGTTTTGTTTTGTTTCTGGGAGGTATAGAGGGAGGGTCAGTCTGCATCAGTGACCCAGCCTGGCCACTCACTCTTCCCGTCCCCACCTCCTGCTGGGGACATTTCTCATCTAGGCAAAAAGCCTCCTGTGCCCAGCGAGGTGAAACTTGCAAATGATACTGTCACCTTCCTCAATGGACAGCCGCCAGCAGCTCACCAAAGGTCACAGCAGGCGAACCCCCAGGGGCTTGGGGACAAAGGAGCCGTCAGCTGCCTGATTTCCGGGATGCATCCCCTGTTCTCAGATGGCCACAGCAGAGGGACGTCTCCCCACAGGCTTCCCCGAGGGGTCCTTCCTGCTTTGTGCAAGCAGCACTGAGACTGGGGTGGCCTGAGAGCTATCAACAGCGTGAAGCGAGGACATCAGTCATCTCCAGGTCTGGTCAGGACCGAAGAAACCAATCCAGCTTGAAGCAGGCGGCCTCTGGTCTCTCCTTGCACCTAGAGTCTCCATAGGCGCTGGCAGGTCCCACAGCAAACCCTCCACTCAAGTTTGGGTGCTGGGAGAGATGTGACTTGGGGACATGTCTCAAGAAGCCAGCTTGCCAAAGGCCGTGGCCCCATGCGGTGGTCCATGTAGGGAGACTGTGTTCAAGGCTCAGTTCTGATCAGTGTGGGGTGGATCTGGAGAGCCAGGGAGTGCGCGTGGGTCTGCGTGCACCGCATATGCTCCACCCCTACACATTTCTGTTTGTAAACATGAGTGTGCAAGTGTACAGACGTGGGCATAAATACACTTCTGGCCATACATGTGTAACTGCGGTGGACACTGCCCACGCACACAACCTCCGGTTGCTTAGGGTCCCAAGCTCTCAGATGGATGGGAGCAGCTCGCTGACCCTGCCACCTCCCAGGACAGCTGTGGCTCACTTCCAGGGGCCCAGGGCTGGCCTCTTGCCTCAGGCTGGAATGAACCATGTAGTGCAATTCTCAGGCCAACAGAGACCCTCTTTCCCTCTGCCCACTCTCAATATATCACAAGCATTTGAACCCCTGTCTTGAGCTCTGCTCTCAGCATCCTGGCCTAAGACAGCACTGTATTAGCACTGTGCATATGCTAATACCAGGCACACACACGTGTGTGTGCGTGCGTGTGTGCTCTCCATGCGCACCCACACATGAGGAAATCCAGGAGGATCGGAGGGGAGAGAATTATCTTCCAAAGATTCCAAAAGGATCTTCCAAAAAGGAAGAGCATTGATTTTTTCACTGGGGAAGGTCAAGCCACGTCAAACAGAGTAGGAGCACCTTGCTTTAAAAGTTGAACATCAAAGGATACTTTAGAAATAAAAGAATTTTTTATTAAATCAGAAAAAGAAAGATACAGTATACATGACTGTCAGTCAATCCTATGCTGCTGTGAATTACATTGTAACAGACTCATCACCCTATTTAGTCCTCTCTACAAGGATTAAAAAAAAAAAAAACTTCAGGTATTTGAGTAACATTCTGTAAATTTTTATTAACTGGGGTTATGGGGAGGGTTTTATGAGAGAACATCCTGAGAACATTAGGAAATTACAGACAGACTTGAGATAAGCGTCAGACGGAACAGATGAAGCAAGCCCCCCAGCCATCTGAGAGACATTAATAATGTAAGCTTCGCGAGACCAGATCCTTGTTAGGGATGCGGGATGCAGAATAAAAAGGGGGAGACCTTGGCGCCCCCTTGTGTTGCAAGACAAACGTGCAACCTCCTGTATTGTATTTTTGTTTTCTGAAGCTGTGATCCTTTTCCTTGTCCCTGAGCCTAAAGAACAATTGTCCCAAATCATTTCAAGCCCTCTCCAGTCAATCGTTTCCCTCCTGTCAATAACTCTCAAGGGCCCTATTTGAAAACCTACTCTTATTCATTCCTTTCTCATACCCCACACATTCCATTTCAGGAAATTGGCAACCGCCCAACACAGAGCCCGTGCTCTCCCTCCTTCAAGTGTGAACTTAAACAAACGGATCTTCCCCCCTCCCCTCTTCAAACTTAGAGGAGGAGCATGCATTTGCTACAATGCCCTTTCCCCCGTCGCAGGCAATTTTCTTCTGCAACTTCCTTGTTATCCATCTTTCATAGCTTAACACAAATGCATCCCCCCACCTCCTTCCTCCCTGGCTCAGCAGTCAACTCTCTTGACCTAAGGATTCAATCTGCGGACCCATGCTTACAGTTATTTGCTAGGAAAGACTGGACCAGAGAGATAAATAATACACCTCAATATACAACAGCTCAGGCTTAATTTGTAGGCAAAATTTCATTTGATGGCCATGAGAAGAAAAAAATATATATACAGAGTGTGTTTAGGGAGGAGATAGAGTGGGGAGAAAACATCCTGGTGGTGGGAGACCCTGGTGGGGACTGTGGTGATGTTTACTTGGATTTGCCAACTGGTCCGATGGATACTGGGTCTGTCTGCACTTGAGCATCTGACATCCGCTTTGGTCCCTGGAAAAAAACACAAAGAAGGGGTAGCCCATTGAAGATGGGTAACAGCAACAGCAAAAATCACCTTTTGGTGAGCACTTACTCCATGCTAGGTGCCATGCTAAGTCAATGTATCTTAGTCCTGAGTGTTGGATAGGAGAACAGTCTCCAATCAGATGTCCAGATTCACTGCCCAGCTATATTACCTTCTACCTTTGCCAGATCTTGGACAAATTACAAATTTATCATTACAAATGATAAAACTATTCCTAGAGGCTTGTTCCCAACACAAAGCGAGTTTATATTTATAATGCAGTTAGAACAGTCCCTGGGGTGTACAATTCAGCTGTCCCTTTCGCAATCCCTGTCTTATTCGCTCATAAGCCAACCCGGTTTTATTTTATTGGAAGTGAGCTTCTCATCTGTCTTGTTAGACTCACACCTGCCTTCTGACAGGGTGCAAGCTCCGTGGATTCTGTCTGCTGTGTCCTCGGTGCTTTGAAAGGACCTGGCACACCGTGGCTGCTCCTGAAGGGTGAAGGCTGAAGGCTGAGGGCACCTGCCATTGCCACTGTGGTTATTGCTGTTCTATCTGTTCTGTCCAGTAGAACTTATGAAACTAGCCCTTTCTGTCTGTAATTCTATAAGCGTGGACCAACACGTGACCAGGTCACATTAGCACCACCCAAAACAACATATCGCATGGGTTCATTGCCCCCACCCCACCTTGTCCCCTTTACAGTTAGGCCTCCCCAGTCGAGACCGACACCAGACCCTGGCAACCACTGATCTGTTTCCTATTCCAGAGTTGTGCCTCTTCCAGAATGTCATGTCAAGGAACGGTGAAGTATGCAGCCTTTGAACCTGGCTTCTTTCACATGTCGTGATGGGTCTGAGGTTCACACAGGCTGGGCATGGTCAGAGGCACCAGCATTGCTGGTCCAGAGTAGAGCAGTAGGGTTGGTGGAGTATACTGGAGTGCAAGAGTGGTCAAGTATGTGGATAATAAGTACAGAATAGTGCAATGTGGCAAAGCATGCATGGTATACAGAGGTGGGGGCAGGTAGTGTAATGCCGGGACAGAGCAACATTGGTGGTTGGTATAGGTTATATAGTATATATGGAAGATATTTAGTATGCATAGAATATATACATAGTATAGCCTACTGTACTAAACATAATACAGCATAGTATTAGAGCACATTATATGAACTGCAGTATTGCCTTGTATATATACCATAGGGTAACATACATAGTGCAGGATAATGTTGGTTAGGGTAATAAAATATACATCCTTGGTGCACATGATATAGCCCGTGTGCACAGTGCCATGTGGTATAATGTGGTCTACATGGTATAACAGAGGATCGTATAAGTCATAGCACAGCATATATAATTCTAAGGACACTGTATGCCATCTCATTTCATTTTCATGCTGACCCTATGACGTCAGTACTATTAGCCTCATTAAAGAGGTACCTGACACTCGAGGTGCTGACTTGACCCTGGCTTCACAGCCACTGAGATGGAGAGCTAGGCTCAAACCCAGGAGTCAGCTGCACCCGGTGCACCTCCCTGGTGTCCTGGTGTGCACAGGCTTCTCTGACAATGCTTCCTCCTTGGGAGTCCCCTGACCTCAGTCCCAATGGGCTAAACACAGCAAACTCAGGTGGCCCAGTGGACTTTGACAAGCAAATGCTCTCTTATTCTAACATTAAATCTGACATTAAAAATCCAGTGCTTTCATATACATGGCTGCTGGTGGCACTCTGTTTAAATAGCACTTGCTCTTCAGGTTACGAAGACCCCCTCCTTCCCTGGGGCCCACTCCTTCCTGCACGGTCTCTTTTGCCGATTGGGGTCGGACTCTGGAGGTCAGAGTCACGTATGTGTTGCTTTGTGTATCAGGAGTGCGCTTCACAGTTAATAGTGCCCAAACCACTCTCTCTTCTGTCCTTTTACCAGTGTGGTGAGGTGGGCAGCGACCACTAACCCATTTTACAGATGAGGTAAGTGAAGCTCCAAGAAGACCCAGGACTGCACTGTGCCAGATGGTCGGGCCGCCCTGACCTGAAACCTGGGCTCACCCCTCCCCGGCCCCTTCCTGCTCACTCTCCACTCCTTCCAGCCCCCACCCCAAGCTCCTTTCGGTGCAGAGCTGATGGGCGTAAGCCTTAGGCCATGCCCAGTGGGAGACCGTCTTCCCTGGGCAAGTCGCCCGCTGTCCATCTGCTACACCTGCAGATCACAGAGCACACAGTTCCAGAGTTCTGGGGACCTGTGAGTAGGAGAAAGGTGAAGAGGACAGGAAGTTGGTGGGGCTTGGGGGGAAGTGGGACCCAATCTCCACCGGCCAGAGTAGCTCACTTTTATCAGGTGTGTGTGTGTGTGAGTGTGCTTGCGCGTCCCTTTGCATAAAAAGAAAAGAAAACCCAAGCAGAGGTGCCGTGTGAGCCCCACGGCTTCCTTCCAGGTCCTTCCTGACCTGTCAGCATCAGCTAGGCTGCTCTGGGTGGGAACCCCAGCAGCTGGAGGGGGAAGGAGGAGATGAGGACTGAGAGAGGTGGGTGGCCGCGGAGGGCCTGGCGGACACGCGGTCAGAGGCAGGAGCTCATTTCCTGTGGGCGATGGGTGCTGCAAGGCACCCTCCTGGTGCCAGTGCTGGCTGCCACCACTACCTTCTCGGGAAGGGGCTGGGCAACCACAGGAATGTGCCAGCTGGAAGTTCCTGGGGGTCCGATCTCTGGAGAGTATCTGAAACCCCTCCCTCCTGCCTCCACCGTGGCTGCAGGTCTCCTGGCAGTGGCCGGAAGCAGGACCCGGGGTCTGGGAGGCAGGAGCTGAGTCCCGCCTCCTTTCTGCCTCTAGATGCCGTGGGATGCCCAGGAGAGGACACCACTTCTGGCTGACTCATCCAAGACGTGGGAATAAGTACTCCCACCGGGAGGGCTTGCTGCGGTAACTGAGGAGATGATGTCCGTAAAAAGCTGGTCCCAGAGCAGGGACCAGTGACTGCAACTGTAATTAGTGTCTTAAACGCATCCACACCGTCACCTCTATGGGCATCAGGCTAAACCGTCACCAGCCTCCAGGCTCACAAGGACACGTTCTACCAGGGCCTCTATCTCTGTGGTTGCCCTTGACAGCCTCTTCTGGGCCTCGGCTGCGCAGCCTTTACAACGAGGACGGGGTCCCACTCCTCCTGCTCAACACTGTGACTAGCTTCCCAGTTTACCCAGGGCCCTGGCCACGTTCTCTCCCTGCCCAGGGCTCCTGTCTCACCTCCTGTTATCCACTGTGTCCCCAGCCACTCAGGCCTCTGTCTCCTCTTTAAACACCCTGGACTCCCGGAGCTCGACCCCTCCCTGGGGCCTTATGCCATGGCTGCTTCTCCAGGAAGAGCCCTGCTGGTCTGCTGTCTGACGCCTTGGCCCCTCTGCTATCACCTCAGACATTCTCTCTGCAGGGACATTTCTGCATCCAATTCAAAGTAGCAACCCCCCTCCCCACAGCCAGGCAAGCACTCCCACGCACCCTGCTCATTTCCCTCAGTGACCTCACACACTGATTCCTCCTCTTCTTTTTTTGATTGGGGCTTGAACCCAGGGGTGCTCTACCACTGAGCTACATCCCCAACCTTTTTATTTCTTATTTTAGGACAGGGCCTTGCTGAGTTGCTGAGGCTGGCCTTGACCTTGCCATCCTCTTGCTTCAGCCTCCGGAGCCGCTGACATTACAGGTATGTGTCACCACCTGGCTCACACTTACGTTCTTGTCTGCTAATTTAGTTTACCAATTTTGTTTGTTAATTTGTAGAACAATGATGGAAGAAGAAAGGAAGGGAGAGAGGGAATATCATCCACATCTAGAGATCTGTGGGCAGGGAGAGAAGGGGGCCAGGGCCCTGGGTAAACCGGGAAGCTAGTCACAGGGAGAAAGAAAGGAAGGAATCTGAATTATCTCAAAGGGTAAATCAGACCATGAAGAATACCTGGCCTCAGTTCTCCATCCAGAAGTGGACACTTTAAAGCATGCAAGTAGAAACCCCTAAGTGCGGCTGAAGTTGAGTACAACATTCCATTAAAGGGTAACAAATTCAAGTAACTTATTTGATTCTTGGGCACAATATTTTAACATCTATTATATTTTCTTCTTTCTGCTCGTCCCTCTGTTTACTGAGTGTGCGTTGTGTGCGTGGTCCTATTCTGGGTGAGTGGGAACCAGTCATGACCCAAAAAGATGACGCCCTACTGTTGAGATCTGAGGTCCGGTGGTGGAGGGGAGACTTCTATGTTGTGGGGAGATTGAAATAAGCAAATCTAATCTTCTCCCCAGTCTGCCTAAAATTGCAACCAGTACAAGGGAATTCTGTATCTGGCAGCCATTGCTCCCACAGTTGGGGAGACTCAACTGTGCATTTATTTCCTGTTAAATTAAATAAACAGGAGGCTTTTAGTTTGAGGCTATCTCTTTACTTTAAGTTCTATGTGACAAGCCACAACCTAGCTTACTTCAAGAACAAACCAATAAACCAATACCTACTCAGGAGTGTAATTTATAAATAACAAATACTTGGGTTTCTGGCAATCACAGCTGAGCATGGCCAATTGCAGGCTGCCAGCTAGTCAGACCCCACCCAAGGAAGGCCAGTGCCTCCTCAGGCCATGCTGACCAGGACATGGCATCCCTGTGGCCAACAGGCCAAAGGCGATGTCCCACTCTGTCCCTGGGCCAGGTCTGTGAGGTCACTGCTCACGCTGCAGGGTGGACCTCTCTGAACCTCTTCTGGTTCTGAATCCTGCCTGATTTGTGGATTGTTCTTTGCTCAAATCAACTCTCTTAAATTTAATTATATAGCTTTTCTATTAACACCCCCACAATGGTACAACGTAAATGGGGTAAGCTGATAATGCATTCATGCCCCATACATTCCTTCAATAAATATGTGCCTAGAGCATCGGCCACCTGCACGACATTGGCCCCTCCAGAGGATGAGCTGGAGGAGGAGGAAGGCTCCAATCTGCAACTTTGCTCATTTGACCCGTTGGTAGTTGGACCATTGGGTTTTGCAGTTCAAAACCCAGCACCATGGACCAAGGAACCCAGAGCGCGGAATTACATTTAGAATGTGGGAAGGGACTGGGCAGATGGCCTGGGGGAGGGAGTGAGCCCACACTGGATGTGGGCTTCAGGGAGCAGGGAGAAGGGAAGGGAGAAGGGATCCCCCTGTGGTGTCAGCTACTACTGACCTCCTGCTTCGTGCTGGGCACTGGACCCAGTGGTTTAAATAGTCATTCAGTTCCCACAGGAGCATCAAGACTGTGGCTGTAATCATGAGCTCAGTTTTACAGGTGGAGACCTGAGCCTCAGAGGGGGCAGGCAGTTAAACTGAGGTCACACGCAGGACCTAGGAGGAAAGGGCTTCAGCTAAGCGGCCAGCACTGACGTCCAGCACAGACTCTCAGCTGGTCCTTCTTCTGTTCACTGTCCTGTGCTATTGGGTCAGAACAGGGCTCCTCCACCTTGGCCCTGTGGACGCTCTGGGCTGGTCACTTCTTTGTTGTGGGGACTGTCCTGTGCCCTGTAGTTCACTTAGCCATACCCCTGTCTCTACTGACATCTCAAGAGGACTTACTCCCAGCTGTGACTGTCAAAAACTTGTTTCTGTACACTGCCAAATGTCCCCCGGAGGACAATATCATTCCTGGTTAAGGACCCTTGGATTAGCTCCCCTCCCCAGAGCCAGGGTAAGGAGAGAGCGCAGATTACATTTTGAATCTTTGGCCAAAGACACCAGGACCCACGGAGAAAGAGAGGAAGCAGGCTGTGGACTCAGAAACACCAGGGCCACCACCCCAGCAGACCATGCATACTCCACCCAATGCCACAGCACTGTAGTGACCAGTTCCACCAGAACCCTGCACAGAAAAAGGAGACGGTTTGGAAATCACTGAGAAAAGTGGGACTAGGGTTTGCACTTCTCCCTGAGGAGTGGGAGCCCAGAATGGAGACAAACTCTCCAACAGGACCACCCAGGGGCCAGCAATCTGCATGCAGTCCCTTTTTTGACAGATACCCTCTTTTCTTCAAGGGAAGGGCTTTTCTCCTGAGGAGCTGGGGGAGAGCTGGGCTCGCGGCCAGGCCTTCACATTGCCAAGCAGCCTCAAGTGTGAGTTCTTAAAAGTGCCTTCAACTGGGGTTCCACATATATACTGGAGGACACAGACGCGGGATAGCAAGACGATGACATTTACCACAGAACCTTAAACTTAGGGCCTGAGATCTGTGTTTCTAACAAGCTCCCCCGAGATGCTGCTGGGAGTCACACGCAGGGCAAGGGAGACAGAGTGCCCACTGACCTCGTCCCCAGAGCTCACTGATGCCCCCTGGTATCTATGGCTGAGCACCTGTGGATCCCTCCACCTAGAATATGCTGTGCCTTGGGCTCCCCAGGCCTGCTTTCCAGGCTAAGGTGAGGTCCTGCCTGAGAGGGAATCTGCTCTGCAAGGCCTCCCTGTCCCTCCTCTCAAACCCAAGGCCAGACTCAGCCCCATTCAGCCTTCCTTCACGAGCCTCCTTCCCCTCTCCCACCTCCCCCTACACTCAGCACCTGGCGACCCCCTCCATCCAGCACCTGACCATGAACTCAGAAATACCTATGGCCTTGTCTCTTTCCTGCTCCTGAAGCCCAGCCCCCCCCCCCCCCCCCCCCCTTCAGAGGTATGGAAACCACATCCCTTGCCTGAGAGCTCAGAAAGAAGAGGCGAAAAATCCACCTACCAGGCCCTTAAGGAAGCCCCCCAGGGACTGTCGCGGTTTCTCCAGTTTCTTTGGGGACTTGCCCCCGTTCTGCAGCGAGTTCGCGTCCACTGGGACCTGCTCCGTGGACGGGGCGGGTTCTTTGGCCTCCTGCTTGCTGTTCTTCTGCTTGGTGGTCTCGGCTGCGGGCCTCTTGTCCTTGGAGGAGGCCTCTGTGCCCTTCTGGGCCGCCCCCGCGGGCGCGGGCTCGGGCTCTGGTGGCGTGGCCGGCTTCTCCGTGGAGCTGGACGTCTGCGGCAATTTCAAACAAAGCCCATTTTTAGTGACTGCAAGGCAATTGCCAAAGGCAGGTGGGTGAATGTGTGGAAGCAGGGATGTTCAAATGAGGGGTGGCGTCTGCAGGTTCGTAAGTCTTGGGTGAAATGAGAAAAAATTATATGAGGTTACGCATGGCGCGGGACCTTTCTTATCCGTGAATCCTTGAGTGAATTCTATGTTTTTCCAGCAAGCGTTCTTCCTCCTTTGTTGGTACCAGAACTTGGACTGCTCTTTGGAAACCAGCCTTTCCCCTTACTCCATGGGGTCTAAGAAAACTAATTCTACCCTTGGGCAAGCACACGTGATGCGGGCCTGGCCAATCAGAACACTGTGTGGTGATTGGGCAGCTGTGATTGGTTCAGGAGAGCCAAATGTGCAAAAGCTGAGCTACTCTCAGAACTTACGAGGCATGGTCCCTCTCTATAGGATTTGAAGCTGTGAAAAGGTGAGCCTGGGGCTTTCAGAACCAACACCATTTTCAGGGTACACGTGCCTGGAAAGGAAGCCAACACAAGAAAGCAGAGCCGAGACAGGGAGAAAAAGACAAGGTGTTGATGGAATCATGTGAGACCACTTGATCTGGCTGTTCTTGAAGCCCCCTTTGTGCTTAAACCAGCTTAAAATCTACTTATAACCAGATGGACTTTTCCCCTTGGGCATACTCATTCTTTTCTTTGTGATTGAATCTACCTTAATTTTTGATATGAAACTGTCCTTTCACTTCATGAAATGGTGGCAAAAGAAGATGATTGGCTTATTTTGAGTTTCGATGTACATTCTTCTATGCCATGACAAGAAGCTTACGATTGCCGTTGGTTCCTACCATCTAGAGAGCTGAAGCTATGGAGTCTAGAAAATGGTGGCTAAATTCCAGATTTACAGATCAAAAAAAGGGAAAAAATGTTAGGAAATAGAGATCCTTTTCTCATAATTTTCTTAAACGCAAATGCCTACAAGGGCAAGACAGATAATGTGAATGCAAAAAAAAAAAAAAAAAAAAAAGAAAAAAAAAAAAAAAAAAGAAAAAGGAAAAAAGAAAAAGAAAAAAAGAAGCCAGGGGTAAGAATAGCCAGTTGGAGATCTTCTTTCCCCAGCGGTGCAAGCAACACAGGTCAAAGAAGTATTTCTCGAGTGTGAGAAAAACACCAGTTCAAGGAATGCTGGTTTGGTACTGGGGAGATAAGCTGAATCGGGGTCGGAGGGACTGCTCTGAACTGAAAGTCACATGCCCTGGCCAAAGAGATCCCAGCTGGGAGGCACCAGGTGGGCGTGCAGACTGCTGCTGTCAGATCGGCTGTATTTTCATTGGAACCTCAAAGCTAAATCTTCTAAAAATGAAAAAAATATGTCAACTTTAAAATACTGACTTCAAAAGTTTTCAAGCCGTGGTCACAACAAACAAGAGGAGCCAGTGAATACATGGTCACAACCTGATCCATTAAGGTATGTGCTGTCCCCAGGAAAGAAGTTCTCTGACAGAGTTGTAACTATGATTGAGAAGGCCACAAGCAAAGAGCGATCATTTTGAACCCAGTGAACCCAACGCACCACTTAGATAAGCCTCTTCAGCCCTGAAGGTGGCCTCAGGTGGCCGCTCTCCAGGGGGCAGAAGGCCTTGGAGAAAAAGCATGAGGGCCAGCACCAGAGAAGCCGAGCTGCGGCTACACACCCTCCACGCCCTGCCCCAGCCCAGCAGCCAAGTTGTAGCAGGTGCTAAGACGTCGATGTCCAAGTACCATGGACAGCCCGGAGCAGGCCTGGCCTCAGAATGACACAGAAAAGCCCACCTTGGTGCTCCACAGAGAGGTCAGAAGCCTGTGACCCATTTCTGTTGGGTGGAAGAGGTCAAGATCTAGTAAGGGCTAAAGGCTCAGGGTCCAGAGTCACAGGGCTCTGGTTTGGATCTAGTTCCATCACATCCTTGCTATGACCTGGAACAAACGGTTCTGTCTCTTGGTGTCCTTGTCTGTATGAATATGAAAAGACACCTCATGGGGTGGCCAGGATCAGACTAGCCAGGATGGAAGGCCTGCATGGCACAGCGTCTGGCCCAGGTGAAATGCCAGACACAGGGTGGCCAGTCACCTTTGTCCTAGAACAAGGAGGTTCCAGGATAGGGAACTGACAGCTTTACGACCAGGAGAGTCCCAGGCCAATGGGGACAGGTAGGTTACCCTGACTTAGTATCACCAGTAGCGACTCCTTAAAAAGAATGTGTGGCTCTTGACTGCCTGGTACAGAGGGGACACCAGTAAATAACTGTTGAGCATGACAAGACAGTGGTCCCCGTGCCTCTGCCCACTTGTCGCCTGTCCCTTGCCCCTCTAGTCCCTCTGCTCAGTCATAAGACCTGCTTTCCTCTTGGAACAGGGCTTCACATTTCCTCTAACTTATGTCCAGTCTGCCGCCATGGTTTCCCGCTGAGGCTCAGCTCTGATGGCATCTCCTGGGAGACATAGCCCCTGATCCCCTCTGGAGCACAGCGTTGCTTTCTTTATGCTTACAGGGACTCAGGACTTCTCTGTTCACTCAATAACATTTATATCTGGGGATTGAACACCCGGGGATTTATTCAGGTGCTGGGACAGAGTTGGTCTCCAGTGAAATATGTTGAATGAATGACCAGCAACTTACCCTCCAAATGCTTCCCAAGTCTTTACCTGTCTGAGTCACTGTGGGGCAGGAGGCGGGAAGCGCAAGGAACCAAGAAAGAGCTTTGGAGAGTTGAGGTCCATCCTCCACATGACCACCCCTTCCTGGCCAGGCTTAGAGCTCCTTTGCAATGACCTAGGTACTAACTTCTGAAGACGGTCATTGACAGTCTCCTTATCTATGGAGTCAGTTGAGAATCAAAACCGTGCAAGGATTGCTCTGTCACTAAACTGAAACCTTTACTTGGGTTTGATTCCATCTCCAAATGTACAAGCATCTTCTCATCTGAGCTCTCGGGAGCAACCTCTCCTGGAACCCAGCAGCTCTGGCAGGAAGAACAAGGCTGTCTCATGCAATTCCAACTCCAGAGGCCCAACTAGCAGGAGGGCCTGGGCTTCCATCCCTAGAAGCATCCACTAAGGGTTTTACAACCTTAAAGAGGAGAATTGCAAAGGAGCAGGGAATATCTACTCTTGTCCCCCCAAATTAAATAAGTATTTGTGACCTCCCAGGGAGTAAGCATCTCTCTTGCCTGGATTCAAGGTCCTGGAAGACCAAGTTCTCTGAGGGACTCTCAGGACCCTCACAGGCAAGTCCGAGTAGATTTCCACAGACTGCATTCCATTTCTGCATTTTTGCTTTGCCTTGTTTGGGGATGGGGGTAGAGGCCACACCCTGGGGCACACCAAGCACAAGTTCACCACTGAGCTACACTCCCAACCCCCGTTACAGTTTTAGAACCACCAGAAAAATTGGCATAGCGGTTTCACGGAAGATTCCAGACCAAATACACAATCACATTTAAGTTTTTTTCCCCCCTGCTTTTTGAATTAGGTAAGTTTATCATGTTTGCAATGTGGTAAGCTTGGAAGTTTTGGTTCTAAGACTGTACTTTGGGGGTGGGCGTAGACGTACATGAATAAAGGAAAAAAAAAACCAGTTTGAAGTATATGAAGAAGAAAACCCCGATTATTATAGAAATACTAAAAGCGCAATCATGCTGTGAGCACTGCAGGGTGGTAACTCCCAACCAGCAGCCCAGCAGTGAGAGAAGGAAACAGCAACTGCTGAAGACTGAATGTGCGCCCAGGTTCCTGGGCCAAAGCCCCAACTCCAGTGTGACTGTATTTGGATGAAGGAAGTAATTCAGGTTAAAAGAGGTCACAGGGTGGGCTCTGATTCTCAAGGATGAGTTAGGGTCAGAGTAAGAGGGCTCTCCCTCCCGGCCCTGCCCTCTGTCTTTCTGCAGTGTGAGGGCCAGGCTCCAGGGCAGCCACCTGCAAGCCAGGAAGGGAGCACTCAACAGGGACTGATCCCTGCGGGCACTTTGCCTTGGCCTTTCCAGTTTCCAGTGCTGTCACCTGAGCCCCCAGCCTACAGCATTTTGTTAGGGCAGCTGGGGGTGCCTCATACAGCAGCTAACATTCATGGAAGCTGTTGTGCCAGGAAGGATCTCGGTGCTCCGGGTGCATTGACTCATCTGAGTGTGACACCCTAGGGGGTCTTCTTTTCCTAGCTCCCTCATCAATGAGGAAAACGAGACGCTGGGAGATTTGGTAATTGGCCAGAAGTCACACTGCTAAAAAGTTGGCTGTGCCAGGATTGGCACCTGGGCAGTCTGAGTCCAAAGACTCAGCCTCTCGAGCATTTCCCTATCTTGCCCAAATTGAAAAAAGAGTATTGATGACATTTTTTTTCCAGAGGTACATTTTTTAAGCTAAAAGAAGAGTGCAGATTACAAAGTAGGATGGGCATGATCCCATTTTTTTTTAAAGAACACCTGAGGCTGTAAAAATGTCATAGCTCTGTTTTCTTAGAACAGAGAAATTATGGAAGCAAACTCTGTGACCCCATGTCTTTCACTCACACGATGTGCCAAGCACCCTGTGACGTGATGGGAAATAGAAATGAATGCTTCACAGATGTTCCCAGAGGGGTGACAGGGGCAGGTGGGACAGGCAGCTAATAGACGAGTGACTGCAATTCGTGACTGGTGGATGAAGCAAAAACATAAAGCGGGGTGACTGGCGGGCTTGAAAGGCTCTTTGAAGAGGTGACACTTGTGCTGACTTGAAGGACAGGAAGTGAGGAGGGAAGAGTGCCGTGGAAGGCCCGGAGCTAACTCCAGCAGGTCTGCAGAGCCCAGCAGGCGCCTAATATGCAGCTGATAACTGCAAATGCAGCTAGGAATTGCACTGCAGACCAGGTGGGAAGAAGAGCACACACTGCCAAGCCCACCACCAAACCAAGCTCAAGGTCACTTACATGGCAGCTGGAGTCTTTCCCGTTTATTTCTTCTGAGGGTGGGATCCCTTCATCCCCTTTCACTGACTAAAATAACAAACAGACAAGGGCCTTTCAGCTCCCATGGTATGCAAACCTGGAGAATGCAAGCAAGTTCTGGAATGATGACCCCTGCCACTCATTATTGAGATTCAGATCAAGACAAATGCAAGGCCCATCGGAAACCTACGAGTCTTGGGATACCTGGATTTCCTTCCACATGTGCAACCAGAGTCTGACGGAATCCGAGCCTTGGCCTCCAAAAAACACAACAGAAGTTCTCAAACCCAGGTTAGGTCATTCTGAGACAAGTAAATGGTGACAGTACTATCAGTGCCGCAACCAAACGGTGGTTGAACATGTTGCAAGAATGAATCTCCAAATGGGAAATCCAGCCATGTAACCCTCCGCTGGTACCATTTAGGTGGTGGGTGTAACTAGAGATTTAAGTTAGACTGAGCATTCGCTTTCTACCCTGTAGCCCCCCTATAGCACCCATAACAGGCCTGGCTGAGGCTGAGTTGGTTCCTTAAACCCCACACTCTGAGCTATTTTTTCTAGAAGTGTGGTTCTAACACCTGCAGCGTCAGCCTCACCTGGAGCTGTGTTAGAAATGCAAACTCCTGACGAGCACTCCAGATCTCCTGAATCAGAAATCCTGGGTCTGGGGCTCAGCCATCTAAGCAGCCCCCCAGTGATGCTGACTAGTGCTGGAATTGGAGCACCATCACTTTAAGCTATTTAGCCACAAATGAATTCAGACCAATCCTGGGGGTTGTAGTTTTAACCGTGCATTTAATAATGCCCTATTATTGATGCTCGATAAATCTGATGATGAATCACTCAGTCCATATCAACAATACTGACTCAGGTCTAATCCCTGAATTGGTCAGTGCTTAACATCTCCTCCCAGTTGGCAAGGGAGGGCACAGTGGGGCAAAGAAGACCTCAGATTGCACTCATGTCACCATGGCTGTGCTCTTAGTGGACAGCAGGAATCCACAACATATGCAAAAACAGTTAACAATGTGGAAGACACTCAGATGCATCGGGGCTGAGGAGCATCATATGCCTCCACTGAGCTATGGCACTCATGTCTTCACAGGTAATGGCAGGATTACGTTTGGAACCTAACTTTTGGCTGGTGCTAAGCACCAAGACACTGTGCTAAATGAGAGGACAACTTGCTAATTCATTCATCATATTAGAACCTTAAGAAAGAGGAGGAGGCATGATTATTTCCTTCCCTCAATATATGGGCAAAAAAAAGGAGTCTCTGAGACTGGGTCATGAAACTGGCAGGGTAGAGAGACTGAGTGCGTGCTCCATACTGGAAACCTTCCCGATATCACTGTGCACAAGGAGGCACCGCTCAATCAACAATGGTTCCTGAACATCTACTATGAAGTTGGTAACACTAGCTTCAGTGATTAGGGTTTGGGTGAGAGGGAGGTTGGTAAACCTCACAGAAGGGCATGCATGGGACCAGCCCTTTCCAAAGGTCAACAGTGCTCTCCTTGGGGTTGCTCTCCAGTTCAGAAGACTTGAACAGGACCGCCAAGGGCATAACAGTGAGTGGGATCCTGAGCCTTGACCCAAAACCCACACTGACAGATCTTGCACAGGGCAAAAGCCTGACATGCACCTCTGATTGGCTGGGATGGATGAAGTGGTGTCTGATGGCTCCCCATGCTTTCCCTAGGGACAGCACTGTGGCACTCCCCCAAGGTTTTCATCCCAAAGGTAAATAAGAATCAGCCTGTCCTCTACATAAAATTTGGATCTGTTAACACACAAAGTGGTTTTTCCTTCCCCTGGGTCTCCTGCGTTGTTCTGCTGAGGTCCAACCTGGCTTGAGAAGGTTTAGAAGAAGAATCTGCCTCTGTTGCCTTTGTCCTCAGTCTTCCCATCACACGTGAGGGTTAGACCTTGGGGATTTCATTCAGGCTCCTGGATTCAGGCTGCATCCTTAGGGCGCTTCCCACGTGGACACCTTCCGGGTGTCCTTAGGATACGCCTGCATGTCCACATTAGGTGGTATCTGGGAAATTTTGAATGGCAAAAAACAAATGAACACATAGTCCTTCAAGCCAAAAACAGAATGGACACCAGGAGTCAGGCATGGCCCTTCCCCCTCCTCTGGAAAATAAAGCTCTCTCTTTTGCCCCCGAAGAGGGAGGGGTTTTGAATTTCCTGTCAGTTGCTTCAATTTGGTATTCGTTAGGTACTCTGCCGGTTTTAAGGTTTCAATTTGCTCTCTTCCCCTCCCTTTCTTTGATGGTTCTTGGATGAGAATTGGGGTTGAATCTAAATCATGCTAGGTTGGCAGCAATGCAAACAGACCTTCAGGCTGTCGAGAAGATCACTGCGAAGTTTAGCCTCTTTACGGAAAAAAATAGGAGTGGCTACCTTCAGCATTTCCGTGATTTTTCTCTGTTGCTCATTTTGAGGCACAGAAAGCTCAAAGCGCACAAACCCGACTGATGGCAGGGTTGTGACTCAGGGTGTTATTTAGTGCATCTGAGGTCATTAACAGCTCTCCCTCGCACCCCTCCCTCTCCATCCCTCCTTCTTCACTCTTGGTAGAGCCTCCTTCAAAGACAACTCAGGATAACAAGGTTGGGCTCAGCCATTCCAAGGGCCAGAACCACACAAGCTTATTTTTTCCAGCTGTCAAAAATAGCATAGTTACTGTTTAAAGAGACGAAAAGTCCTTCAGAGACCATTTAGCACTTTGAAGAACAATTTGAAAGCTATTAAATCAGTTTCCAAAATTTTCCAATTTGACACTGAGCAACTTTTTTCTCGGGTTATTTTGTCCCTGAGAAGCCAAGGGGAAGCATCTCAGGGCACTTGGCCTGCAGTGTTGAGAGGGAATCTTGTTGTGGCACCCAAGCCTTGCATATTAATGAAGTCACTTTTTATTTCTTTCACTGTGTCCTGAATTCGGCTAGCTTGATAACGCTGAGGAACATCTGAACCATTTCCAATACATGGAGTTAGATATTCAAAATTCTAGCAGAAGCATTCAAAAAGGAATGGAAATGTATTTTGATGTCAACTTAATTCAACAAAAGCTGATATTTAGAAGAAGAAAAATTGGGTTGAAATTTTAATGTGCTATGAGAATATCCGCAATGCTGTTTACTAGATCAACCTCCACTACCACAAATGCAAGGAACTGGAGCTACTGGAAATTTCCAGGTTCCACAAAGGTAATGAGTCCAGACTCCGTGCTTTATCAAGATGCTCGTATAAAACAGATTTGGAATATTTTAGCCCAGTGGGGTAAATTTCCTTTTCATGACAGGCACATGCAGGAAACCTATGTCCGAGCTTTCCTCTTATGCCTTCCTGTACTTGCAGGTAAGAGCAGTATCCCAACACATAAGAAAGATCTTTCCTTAGAAATCACCACTGAAGGACACACCAAAAAATGGAACTGACAGTTGTCCTGCGCCCAGATAGCCTCATCTGCTGCAAAAGACCCAGAAGCAGCAGTGGCACTTGAGAACAAGGGGAACGTTAGGAACAACGAAAATGAGAAGAAAGCGCTGACCTCTGTCAGTGCCTGGTGCCCACGGAGGTGCTAAGCCCTGGGCTCCTCGGGTTTCTACCCTAAAGAGAGAGATGTGGAGCTGGGGTTGTGGCTCAGTGGTAGCACTTTGAAGAACAATTTGAAAGCTATTAAGTCAATTTCCAAAATTTTCCAATGTGAAAGTAAACTTGCCTAGCATGTGTGAGACACTGGGTTTGATTCTCAGCACCACATATAAATAAATAAAGAAAGATCCATCATCAACTAATAAAAATTTAAAAAAAAGAGAGAGATTGTGCAAGCAGCTCTAGCACAGCGCCGCCACGTGGTGGGTGCATGAAGGACAGGACTGTCGCTAGTAATCAAGGAGTGCCCAGCAACCTGCAGTGACCTGCCAGGGTAGACAAACCCTAGTCACTGGTGGAGACTGGAATTGCCCAATTAGACGCTTCTTTCAGAAACCTGCTTTCAAAGAGCAAATCAGTACCAACATTTTAATACTCAGGGGAAAATCTGAGAGCAAGAACATTGGCTAGAAAACACCTGTTTTTTTGAATTATAGTTACCACTGCAAACCATCTACTTTTCCCCTCCAGATAGTAAATTTCAACAGCTATCAGCTTCTTAGATGAAATGTAATCAACAAAGAGCTCTGATTCCTCGACTATTTTCTCATTTGACCCTTTAATTGGCCTGGTATTAAAGCTCATGGTCTTTCTCTGAGCCTGAGAATGTTAGTTTTTTTTCTTATAAAATGAATGGTCCCAAATTAAGAGCCAAGAGGTGGATTAAATGAAATAATGTATGTGAAAATAGTTTGGAGGAGGAACGCACTTTTCAAGTGCAAGGTGTTATTATATTGACAAATTATAAATCCCAAATCTATACATTTCTATCTGCCACCTTTGTGGTTTCAAACCTGCCTACCTGGTTTGTGGATACATGAATGCAGCACTCTGCCCACTCATTTTATAAAAATATACTAGCACTTCAGATATTCAATTTCTTGACATACAGCTGAATTAATATGTATAAGAATCTTTTTCTATTTAGGGCATGACAGATGTCTTAGATGTTCCTTGCAATTATTTTGAAATCCTGTAGGAGCTGATAGGATTTTTGCAAAGTGGTACATCTACATGCATTGAATGCAACGTTAGACTTCTATTACTGACTTCTTTTTACTTGAAATACAGTTATTTGGAAAAATGATATTCCATTTTTTATTTTCATGAGAGGTTAATTTCTGGAAAGTAAATGAATTGGGTAATGCCTTATTTTGAAAAAAAAAATCAACTGAGAGTCAATTTGTTATGGGATACTAAAATATGCTCTCAGAAACTAAAGAGAAGCAGAGTCCAGGAAGTGGAAAATCAATGATCTGATGAATGAAGAAATCGAACACAAAACAGAGGTTTTTGCAATTGAATTTTCTCTTCTATTAAATCTTTTTTTTTAAACCGTATCTTGTGCTCACAATATGTAAAATTAGTTTGGAATTTTCAATTATTTGGCTCAAAAACATTCTCCTGGAATCCTTAATAGGACGCCAGATACTGTCTTCATTTTTAAGCCCCTAGAGCAGGATTATTTTTTTTTCTTCTCTCCCTTTGCATAAACCCAAAGACTTTAATTTGGAAGCCACGAACATGTTGCCAGAAAGCCAACTTCCAGGAATCTACCCAATGGGAATATTAATATGTGTATAAAAGTGAGTGTCTTCCATTCTCAGGGAAGCACTGAGACTCTGTGTGTGAGGTGCTCGGGGCAAGTTCATGGTTGAGAGGATGAGGACAGAGTTAAAAATGTCCATTGTCTTCACTAAGCTTTTCTCCCCCTGAAGACAGATGCTGCACCTATTTATGCTCTCCCTTATGTCCCTAGTGCCCAGAAGAGAGTGGACACCAAATAATTCTTTGTCAAACGTCTTTTGTGCATTTGAATCGGTCAAAATGGCAATAAATTTTTCTAATGAAAACAAAACAGGAAAAAAAATGACAATAATTAGGAAGTCTGGGATTCTAGGGGAAGTTCCAACAATCCAAAAATATGCTATTTTCCCCCGCTGTAACTCCCAGCTCTATCCAGAAACAGGAAAGCTGATCACCCTCAATATTATGATGCACTATTTGAGGATCTCATTTGTCATGCAGAGGCGCTGCCAGAGACAGACTCAATGTTCTTTTCTTTCTTGGCATAATGTGAAAATCGGTTTAAGAATCTCAAATCTTGATCTTCCTTTTTAGTGCCAAGTTACAGAGCAAATGATCAGCAACAGAGATGGGGTTTCAGCCACACTCATGGATTGTCTACTGTGCATGCTGAGTTTCTTTTTTATTTTCCTCCAGAAGAATCCAGCAGGAAAATAAAATGATTCCTGCCAACAATTTCCAACAGAATTATTTCTAATATGCATCAACTTCCACTGACAAGAGTTTTGTTTTGTTTTATTTTTTTGTGGACCCAAAAGAATTCTTTTAACAGGCTGATCTCATGAAATTAGAGAACTACTTTCTCAAAGGATTAAACTTCCCAATACTCCCCAAAATAAAGGCACACTGTAATGAAATTCTCATTTTTCATTAAAAGAGAATTAAACCAATGACCTTTTACGTGGGTTTTTGATTTTTTTTTCTCCAACTGATTTGGGTTTTGTTGCATTATGTTATTTAAGTTCCTGACTATTTAGAGATTGAAAGTACGTGATTCTTCATAGGCACCAAAGATATCTGTCTACATTCTTTCCATTCTGTACATAGAGGGAAAAAAATGACAAATTTACCAGCTAAACTATAAATATACACTATGACAATATCATGCTATCATTTCCCTATTTGAATTCTCTATGTTAGCTTTGTCTAAATTTGAGTCACACACATGTCACCTTCAGAATTCTTGACCCCTCAATGTATAACTTGGACTATTTCGTATTTTATCCACATAAATGCCTCATGTTCTTGATGTAAATAAATGCATTTTCAAAGGAAACTCCATATTATTACCATGTTGTAAGCATCATTTGCCACCAATAGAAGGAAACTTGAAAAATAAATTAAATCAAATGCAAGCCATAATGTTAACTTTTAGGACGATGCTCATGTTTGCTAGAACTCAGGATCCAAACACAGCTCTTCCTTAATAAAAAAGAGAATCAGCCAGCATTAAAGAAGGTCAGCCATTCACCGAGGCTTCTCCGCGACTGAACCGGAGGAGGAGGGCATTCTCTCACTTGCTGGGCGTTCATATCCCATGCACATCCCCTGCCACCGAGCACTGCCCCTTACTTGAGGCAGCGGAGCTCGGTAGTGCACTGCTGTGCCGGAAGGAATTGGCTTACCATGTGTCTGAGCAATGCCATCAGGGAGGTCCTCCGCGGCTTGCTTGCTTCTCTTTTGAGTTTTACTTCCATGGGTTCGGGCTTAGCATCTTCTTCTTCAGTGAGATCCACTGTTTGTGAGGCTGACTCTACTTTCTCAAACTTTGTAATTTCTATTGGTGATTCACACACCACCTGGATAGTTTGCCAGGTATTAAGAAAGTGAAACAAAACAAAACAAAACAACAAAACAAAACATACATTTGCCCAAAGCATGTTTTATAAAGGGGCCGGGGCTGTCCCTGTCCACATGGTAGCTATAGATTTGCATCGATGACCATTTGTACCCAGGCACAACTTCGTGTTGTCCAAAGTGCTTTCCAACAGACAGTTTTTGAATCACTAACACACTGATGTGGACATGGCAAGTTCCCTCCCATGCGTCCACAGGACACAGAGGGATCCCTCTGGGGACCCTTCTTCTATTCCAGTGAGCCCACCTCTTTGGTCTGCTACAATGGCAAATCACACCTGGCCTGTGCAGAAATCAAGAATCATCACTTCCTCGAGTCCCACCCTAGAGGCAGTGGCTGTGACACCTGCCATTCCACAGCCTTTGTCCCTAGCAACTGTGGGGAAACTGTCCTCCTTGCAGGAAGGCAGAGAAGCCACTTGGTTTACTGGACTCCACCTCCTCAAGAACTCATTTCCCACCTCTCCAGTCACTTGCATTGGTACTCGACTGGAGTTGGGGCTTCCAGGAGAAAAATGAACTTGACCACAGAGCTACGGCTGTGTTGGTGATGGCGCCTGCGGAGTGCTCGTGGGCTAACGTCCTCTGACCACCTACTGGGGAGAAGGGTGGCCAGCGGTGGGCTCGCACGAACTCTCCCATGTACTAGCACACGGGCCCCAACTTGTGCTTTTGCACGGTCACATGCCATTTCTGTGGCCCCAGTCACATCTGGGACAGTTTCTGCGACTATAATGGTCCCTGCAGCAGGACGGAGTCCACTGGCCGGGAGGCATTTTTCCTTCCCTCGGTTTTCCAGGCAAGAGCTGGCAAAGGACCACCCACCCAGCCCTGTGCCTGTTTTACTTGGCCCCTGAGCTAAGGATGGTTTGTACGTGTCTAAAGGGTTGTAAACAACTATTAAAAGATGAAAATATTGGATGCAGACAAAAAATGGCCCGCCAATCCTAAAATATTGACTCTCTGGGCCCTTTCATCCCAGGTGTTCCATCCCCTGTCTCCAACAGAAGCACTGCCGAGCCAGGGGCCTCTCTGCGTTTGTCCCTGCGGAGCCAGACACCAGACTGCTCAGAGCCTTGTTCTCAGTGTCGGGGTCGGGGAGGGAGATGGAGTTGTCTCCAAAATACTGAATGCTTGTGGACAAGCTACCTCCCCTTCCTTCACGTAGTACACGCCACTGGTTTGCAGTGAGCCAATTTTTCCAAATAGAGAATTTTAATCTTTGTATTATCTCAACCAAGGCAGAGAGCTGCCAATCAACGAATCAACATGCAGAGCTGTTGGAATTTGGCAAGGGAATCAGAGTAGTCTGCCCGTGACTCGCATTTCTTAAAATATCGACATGATTTGTGGTATTTTCCCTTTGGAAAGGAAGGACTAAGCTCAGGTGTTAGGACTCAAAAGGCCTCAGTAGGCAAGGCAGAGGTGTCCCTGTGCATGGACCAGATAGAGAGAAAAGGTGTGGTCAGGACTACAGCCAAGGAATGTCCCATCTGAAGACATTCAAAGATAAAAACACTGGATGTGCTTGGGGGAAGCTGCTGCCACCGGCTGCTGGTTTCTGATCCCAGTCTGGCTTTAGACCAAGGAGAGTCTGGGATTGGTGTCTGAAGGGGGACGTGGTTTCCGCGTCTAGGCATGTTCCATTCAACTGCATTTCTGGAAAATGAGCATCAGCCACAAAAGCCCATGAGCTGGGCCTGGAACGTATCTGTCCCACAACGTGGGCAGAGAGCAGAGGCGCTGGGCAACCTGCTGGGCAGAACTCTGTCTCTACCCCTAAGTGGGCCTAATCCAAGGTCAGCATTTCATCTTCTCTGTTCTGGGTGGGGACACTGTACTCATCACAAAGCTGTTCTGAGGATTAAATCAGGCAATTCATGTCAGGCCATAATTAATACAGGGGTTGTGATTTGTGTCCGAGTTACACCTATTTATTCCATGAGCACAAATTGCCTGGAATCGCCACCACCCGCAAGTCCATTATTGAGGGGTGATTATTTTAATAACTACCTCTCACTGTGCCTGGAGTTGAGAAAGCCATGTTTTATACATAACCTCAGGAAATAGTCACAGAGACAGCCCAGGAAAGATAATGTTATCACCACTTTATAGATGAAGGACATGAATGATTGAATGACTTGGCTAAAGTCACAGTACAGAGGAGAGGACATTTCAAGGAGAAGAGCACTTTCTGCCAGTAATTGAATATATAATAGTGGATTAATTGATAAGGACATGGAAGAAGAAGTTTGAGAGCAAGTCATTCTGGAGCTGGTCCAGCAGCTCTGGGACTTCACTAAGGACTAAGCATCGTCTTATCCTGTGTCTCCACCACTCTTGTCACGCTGCATTTTCATTCTGTTATTTGTTACCTCATGGTCATGAAGTAGCTGTTATTGCTCCAGCATCACAACCTTATCTCAGTGTCCTGAGATGGAAGGAAGGTCCCCATAACAGACTTGCTCCATAAGAGACAACTCCAGACTGAACTTTGGAATGAACTTTGGAATTCAGATCCTTTAGTTCAGGGCACACAAATCTCACTGGTCATAACTAGGTCACTTCCTTATCCCTAGACTAATCATAGGTGAAGAGAATGGGTAAGAAGAAGATTAGCATGGCCCTAAAGTGGGTAATGAGCAGTTTGACTGACTGACGCTCGATTCTGAATTCTATTTGGCCTTTGAAACAGCATGTTCTTTTTTGTGTTCAAGGGCCTGGAAGGAAAGTCACTTCTGTAATAAAATGATAGATTGTATGACAATAACTTTGTAAACCACCCTTATTTGAGTGCCAATGGTTCCCTTGTGGGGTCTTTTCAAATGCTGAGAGGTGTCAGCTCATGAATCCTAGGCTGCAAGTCCATTCTCCAAAACACAACAATTTTAGTAGGCAAAACAAATGGGGCTTCTAGAGACTTCCATCAGCTTTGAAGTCAGGCCAAGAAGTTGGCTTTCAGTAGCCAAGGAAAATCCACCAACATCCGGTGTGGGAACCCAGCACAATTTGGACTAAGTAAGGATCCAATTTGCATATACAGACATGAGAATTCAATTTTCACTTGGATACTTCTCTGACTTCCTTTCAGGCTACAGCTTTGGAAAAAGTCATTCCCCATTTAGAATATATTAGTGCATCTGTACATTTTAATTTTAGGTTTTATAGATATAATTAAAATCAGACTTGTGCCATATTTTATTTTTGTGTGAGCTATAGTTTAGAATTGGATCTCCCTTGCTTAACTTCAACAGGGAAGGTGTATACATTGTATAGGATTGGCCAGTATGTTTAACTTGCAAAATATACCTTTCTGTAAAGGGTGTTACATATTACCTCAAATTTTATACCGTACTTATATTTTTTATTTTTAATTTATTGGTACCAGGGATTGAACTCAGGGGCACTCGACCAATGAGTTACATTCCTATCCCTGTTTTGTATTTTATTTAGAGACAGGGTCTCACTGTGTTGCTTAGCACCTTGCCATTGCTGAGGCTGGCTTTGAACTCATGATCCTCCTGTCTCAGCCTCTTGAGCCACTGGGATTACAGGCGTGTGCCTTTTGAAATTTTGTTTATACAGGTTTTCTTTCTTTTTTTTTATTAGAGCTGTGAGTTTTGGGAACTAATTTATAGCAAAACAGATATCCTCCACTTAAAACTTCAGCCACCACATAATAATATTGGTATTTAAGGGTTTTATTTTAGATTCTTTTTTTTATTGGATTTATAATGTGATTATTTGGTTACGGAGAATTAGAGATTTTCTTTCCTACCCAGTAACTCTTTTTTTTTCTCATCAGTTTATAGCAGCCAGTTTTGTTTTGGGGCAACCATCCTCCCTGACTGATTGAAAAAGTCTCAGCCAACCAACCTGGTCTAGCTCCGTGGCATGTTGGCTTAGGGAAGGCAGCATCAGGTGGGCAGAGTGTGTTATTTTTACAATTATTCACTCCATCTTCTTGGGAAAGAATCACACATCTGTGCCCCTTGCTGGGTGACCTGCTTTAGTGAATGGATACGAGTGGATATGACATAAGCCACATCTGAGCTGAGGCTTTAAGAGCCATTGTGGCTTCTCCATGGCGTTCTTCTCTCCCCACAGGTCCTTGTGGAGGGACCGCTTATTTATGCTAGATCTCAGCAGAAAGAGACCACGTGAAATAGCCGTGGTAAATATACAGCTGACTTATGGCATAAGTGGAAAAAAAAAAAAAGAGAGAGAAAGCTGTTGAAAGCCACTAAAATTTGGGATTTGGTTGTTACTGCAACAAAACCTGGCAAAAGCTGACTAACAGAGCACGTGAACACATCTGAGCCAATGAAGGAGACAATTCCAGGACCTGTGGGCTTGGACCTGGAGAGATCTCTCCTTTACTCAGGACTGGGTAATGTGATGTTGGAAAGCTGAGAAGGCACCCAGACCAAGAAGGCTGAGCCAAGGGAGAGCCCTGAGGGAACTTGAAATCAATTCTACTTTCCAATGATGACGCTCAATACATTCCTTTTTCTTTCTCATCCAGGTCGTGCTTGGGTTTCACTGGTGACTAAAAGTTCTCTTATTAAGAGGGAAACAGCATAAGTGTACTTTGCCTTGGGAAGGAAGTTGTTTTCGTTAGTTAGAACATTAACTCAGTCCATTAACAGCCCAACATTTCCAAATCACCACTGAAAGATTCAATAATTTCTACGGTTTATATAGATATCATTTCTGATAGGATAAAAAGCATACCCCAGGAAAAACAGTAAACTTTTTTTTTCTGATTAAATATGAATGGACCTTTCTGGTTGACAGATTGTTTTGGAAAGTTGGGCATAGAGAAATTTAAAAAAATAAACTCAATTCTATTTGACCCAGAAAAAGCCAGGAGTGAGAGCCCTCTTGTGACCTGACCAATCGCATCTGACTGCTCTTCAGCCAGGGTTCCGGGGCCACATATTGTTTTGACCGATGCCATCTCTCCCATTAAGTTTTTCCTTTTTACATATCCCTTCTCTTCATGGGGACGCCCATGTCATTTTACTAGGAAATTTAATCCTCATGACTGGGAAGAACTCAAAGATGACCTTGCAGCCTGGTCACTAACGATTACATTGGGGGTCACCCAGCTTTCTTGCAAAAGGTCCTGCCGCTAGCATGTCTCCCCAGCTCTGCTGCCCTAACAGCAAAGCAGCCACAGGTGACGTGGTAGGAGTGAGTCTGGCCGTGACCTAATAAAACATTATCAGCACACACTGAGATTTGAATTATAGTTTCCACACGTCATGAAATGTTATTCTTTCCATTTTTTTCAAACCATTCAAAAATGTAAAAGCCATTCTTGGCTCACTGGCTGTTCAAAACAGGTACTGGCCTGGACTTGCCCAGGAGCTATAGTTTGCTGATGCCTAAATTTCTGAGTGCTTCCTGAGATTTGGGTAGTGAGGGGAGCACAATACATGCCTTATCTCTCCTGATTCTTCCCCAAATCATGAAGTGCTGGTAATGTTCTTATCACCACCTGGAGATGATGGGGCCCAGATATGACAACTATTTACTTCACTCCCTCTGGGAGAGGGGCAGTTGATGAAATATTGAGCTTTAAAAATAGAAAAGTAAGTTCTAGGGCTAAGCACATTAAACACTCTTTTTGATGCTTCTTTGTTTTCTTAGGAAACTAATTTGCTTTTTTTCATATCTTGACCAACTTTTGTGCTGTCTTTTGGTATTCCGAATTTATGTTTTAATTCACATTTATATTACCATTTCAAGCTTCCTACTAGAAAATGAAACCAGATCAACTCTGCATTTTAGCATCTGAGCTACTGCAGACATCCCGAGGTGGGCAGCTACACTAAACATCCCCCACAGAAGTTTCTCTTCAGAAACTCAGAACCTCAGTGCTAACCAAGGCTCCAAATTCAACCTGAAACTTTAACATTTAAACTTCATGGGGAGAAGACCTGTGGGCTTCCTCGTTGCAGGTTCCTGAAGGTCTAGAGACTTTGACTCTCTAGGAAATAGCCAATAAATTCATGAGAACTTTCTGGAATCATGAGAAGCCTGAGCTTTGCTAAGCTCCTCAGTTTGGTTCAAGAAATAAAAGAAGGAAAGGATTGAGAAAGGGAGCGATACACAACAAAAACAAGCAGATTGAAAAGATTTTCTCCTCAAGAGAGTCATAACGGCCATTCTAATTTCCCTTCCATATCATGGATAGCATTTCTGGAATGTATTTGGATTCTCATCATCTGTTCAGTTCCAGTAACTAGATAAAAATGAAAATGCACACTATTCATGGCAGTGAACAGGAGACACCAGAAGGATCCAAACATCTTTTGCTTTGGCAAAATGAAGATGTTTTGTTTCTACCTTAAGGAGCTGTGGATTCACTTATCCTCACTTATAAGATTATCCAAAGACCGTGCTTCCTTCAGGAATGAGAGCAGCTCTCTTGGGCCTGAAACTCATGAGGCCCATTTATTAATCTCCCTGGAAAATGTTTTTTTTTTTTTTTTTTTTTTTTTTTTTTTAATAATACACACACACACACATACCCCACCACCACCACCGTGGCACTGCATGTGACACCATTTCTTTGGACATGAATGTACTATCTTGAAAATTTTGAGTATCTTTTGAGGCCAGGAGTATCTGACCTTGGTTAAAGGTAGAGCGTCCCCTGTCTGTCAGATGCAGACCCACGGAGTCCCCTCTCCAACTGAGACCAGCTTCTACAGCTGCAAGAGGTTCTCCTGCTTGAGGCAACGCCCGTCCTGGGTACCAACCCAAATTAGTAAGAATCAGGATCACCATGAAGATGAAGGTGAAGGAGCAGTGAAGGCAGAAGCAGAAGATGCAGCGTCATTATCCCTTATGGAAGTGCCAAGCCATTCCTACGTGCTGTAGACTCTTTCACCCCTAAATGATAACAAATGATGAAGCAGCATGCTTTCCTCCTGCAATTATTTTCCATCAATTCAATGGGAGTTACAAAAATTCATCCAGTGTTGTTCCCCTTTGGCCCCTAGACACAAGACAGGGTGAAAGAGTCCAGAGCGGATGATTATACCTGGAGCATGCCAGAACACAGGATCCCAGGGTTGAAAAAGCCCAATGGTCCAACATGCCCAAGCCGAGAGGGGGATGATTCTGTCATTGAATGCCTCACTTACATTTTCTTCTGCACCTGGGGCGACTGAATCCTCTTTAACTGACTAAAGGAAGATAAAAACAAATGTGAGAATCAAGATGTTACCACCCCACCCCACTCCCAAAAAATAAATTACACAAAAGCAAAGGGCTCTTTGGGCTGGCAGTTCTCTGATGTTGAAATGCTCATCTAGACCTTGTTCCCAAAAGAACTTGGAAGACAATGGCGAGTGCAAACAGTATAACAAGATAATACAAGTTGTGCATTTTAAAATGCAAACAACTTGCAGACACAGCCAGGCCCAAATGGAACACAGAGAGGGGCTGCCACGGAAGACAAAGCCACAAAGCCTTGCCTGGGGGAAAGCCACGCCTTGGCCTTCACGTTTTCTAGTAGCTGATGACAAGAGGGAACCATTATTAAATCTCTCAATCTATAGCCAGTGTTAGGTAAAAACAAACAAGCTGCTTGGGGAATATTCTAGCAGTAGGCTGAGAAGTGCACCCACGATCCTCAGGTTCTCATGACTGTCCTGTCATGAGTAGGTCCTCAGCCTTTTCCTGACCATGGCATTGGAGGCCACTTCTTACATCAGCCCTTGATCTGGGCCAGTGTCATCGTGCTGAAGTTCAAACACTCCCGGGAGAGCCAGAGGGCGGGGGTCTGACCCATGCAACTCCACAGAGTTGCACTCCCTGGAGTAATTCTGCATCTCCTGTGCTGTCCTAATATCTCAGCTCTATTCTGAAGCTCCAATGTCGATGTCATCTTTGCCTGTTTCCTTGGGTTGTCCTCAAACTTTTTTGGGGGAGAGTGTTAGTGGCTTCAGACCAATTCGATACTCAAATGAGTAGATCTGGACTCTCTTCCCATAAACAAAGTACTTTTTATATAACTGCAGGGTGTTCATAGACCTTCTGCACCTCTCCTCTTTATTCCAGGGCAAGAACTCTTCCTTGCATCTCTGCTGGTACAAGACCCGCCCTCCCCTGTAACAGGTGCAGTGTGAGCCACGCAAGGGAAGCGGTATTTACCGATGTCTTTCACAGTGGCATCTTGCTTCCAGTACCCCTCAAAGTGCCTCCAAAATAGCAAGTACTGAGGGCCCCTTTGCACAGTACTGCAAGAACAGCACAGAGGGGCAAAGTCACTTGTTCAGGCTAAACAGCTAAAAAAGGGGAAGCAGTGTTTCCAGAAGCTAAGTTTCTCTCTTGTCAACATGACTTTAAGGATGAAAATATGTACTTTTTTGTGTGTGTTTGCCTGGGTAAAAAAGGTGTCCATGAAAGGACTGTAACATTTCTGGAAGCTTCCGACTGTCAGAAAATGAGAGCACATGCAGAAGGAATTTGGGAGGAGCTCTGCTTTCTTGGAACTGTACCCTGATTGCGCGCTGTCGAACACGATGCACAGGTAAAGAATCAAATGCTATTTCAAAAGGGGAACCTCCTCAAGCCTGACCCACAGAAGTTTCAGGAATAAACAGACCATCTACGTTAGACTGAGAAAAACCCTCTTACTATCTAAAAATAGACCAGGGAGGGTTTCAACCCTCCTTCCTGTCCTATCCAGTTGTACTGAGACTTCTTTGTGTCTGTGGTTTCCTTGTCTGGAAAGTCCCTGGATTTTGATTTCTCACTGTGTTCTTGAAGACACTGGGAACCTGGAGCAGGTGACAGATGGGAATAGAAGGAGCTCGATCTGAACACTCAAGTTTCCTTGATCTTTGTTATGTTTTCAGACTGCCAAATCTTTCTGCTGTTTTGAAAACTGGCCTTACAAATATTGCCTGTTCCAAACAAATATTTTTAAAAGTTATACTACCAGCAAAAGTTCCTTATTTTGTGAATTTGTCTGCGTGAGCATCTACCAAGTGCAATAATTTTCATAGCATGTTCTAATCTTTGACTTGTTCTTGTGTCACCAGTTTATTTGATATTTTCTATACATTAACCATAGATTTGAAAAGAAAGTTTCATATTATAAAAGAAAGTTTCACAAATATATTTGAAAAGAAAGTTTCTTATTATTACAGTAAATGGTATCACATTAATATTACTGTTGCTTCTTGTATAGCTTCTTATTATTACAGTCAATGTGTACCATTGTGATAATAAGAAGCTAAACGGTAACACAAAAGAAATCATAAGAATCATAAGAAACTTTACGTAATCATAAGAAACTTTCTTTTTCAAATGTAATACCATTTACTATAATAATAATATGTATATAATACATATTAAAATAAATACAATGAATGAAGCAAACACTAATAAGGTTTAAGTCTCTGTAAAAAGGGAGCCCAGCAAGTGCTAACACAGTGGTAAATGCTTGTTAATATCAAGAAGGGACATTCTTCTTGACATCACCAGAAGGACAGGAATAGAATGGAAAAAGGAGATAACTGTACTGTGTAGCCAGCGAAATGTTTTCTAGGGCTCTCTCCAAGAACTGCCCCAAATTGTTTTGAACTTTTTGTACATTTGCAAATAGGGCTCCAGGTGCAGGCTGCATGTGAGCAGTGATTGACATGCGCAGTTCATGTAGAGAGAGTCCAGGTTCTGGTCACCGGTTAGCATGTGGCTGGTCTGAGGAAGTATGCTACATGGCGACTGGTACATGGCGACTGTAGAGTCAGGTCCAAGTTCAGAGTTTCAACTGTGTGACCTGGTTTTAGTAATCACTCCTCTCTGAGCTGATTATTAGCCTGTTAGTGGTCATGTGTTGTTTCAGGAATAAATCCCCAGCTCATTCAGGGGAAAGCCATGCAGAAACAGAGTGAGATGCTGGCTGGGTCCAGCCCACACAGTCCTCCTGGGCCTTACAAGAATACCCCGTTTACATGGGGCTAGAGAGTCTGGATGTTGTGTTGTACGGGTGGGGACTCGAGTAGTGTCTATAATTAAATGCTTGTTAATATCAGGTTTCTATAGACTCTTCTAGAAACCAGAGTATATGAAGTAGAACAGAAAGAAAAATTTCAAGAAATCAGCCCCAGAAGCAGAATTCACCTGTGGAAATCAGAACTGTAGGTGAACCCATCACCTCCAGGGCCGGGGCAGCTGGTGGCTGGTGGCCACTCAGTCCAGCTCAGCTCTTGTTGAGTTGTCTGGGAAGAGAGGGCCAAGGATGGATCTTCTACATGGTGTCACTCTGGGGCCTGAGTGGCTGCAGGGGGCTTTCCCCAGAGCTGAGCGGGAGCTGGGGGTGTGCTTTCTTCCTGCTACCTTGCAAATGGCAGGTGAACTGCTGGCTGGCTGCTGAGGCCCCACAGGGGTGATGGGGGTGGGGGAGAGTTGTCATGCATCTTTTCCTTGGTGTCTCTGATGGCAGTGGTGTGGCTGGGGGCAGAGACATATGGCAGCCCAGACTGACTCACAGTCATCTGTCTTGGATTCCTGCACAGGATGTGGGGCATGGTTTATTTATGAATCCTGAAGACTGCTGGTGTTTGTACATATGAAGCACTTAGCATAGTGAGTGCTTGCACATAGTATGGATTCAACTTATGGTAGCAATTGTTATGAATGCTGGGAAGAAGTGACATCAGCTAGGTTTGTTACACTTCCTTAAGACTTTTCTTGATTAATTCTATGTTGTTTTGGAAAGTCCTAAAGTCTGCTCAGGCCAGAAGTATGTTTGCTCCTGGAATCCTCATGAACAGATATTTTTTAACACTGCTTCAGGTTCTAGTTGGCATGGGGTAGGGAAGGATGTGGGTCTCAGTTACAATCTTGGTGACTCACTCTTTATAGTACAATGGCACATTGACCCGTATAAATAAAAAATGCCAGGTCACACTAACCGGAGCCCAATGTGGCAGTGTTTGGAGATCTTTACTGTGTATATTTTGGGCTGCCTTAATGAGCCCACCCAGCTGTAAACTTGAGCAGTGTGTTTTATGACATTGTCCAAATCACTGAAAAAAAGAAAAAAAAGTCAACAGGATTAAGAGCAGATTCCAGAGAGCTCTGTGCTGCGTTGTTTTCCTCCTTAATGGACCCCCTTCAGGGGCTTGCACCCCTGCACTGGATTAGCATACTTTAGACGCCACTGGAGAGAACGGAGGAAGACAGTCTTCTATTAACAAAGGTAATGATGGCAACCCACGCTCTTGGGCTAGGTGTCAATTAACTGTGGGTTCCGTGCTTCCCGTGTGCTCCAGGTCAGCAGTCAAGGTGGATGCAGACTGCCCTTCACCTCCAGGCTCTGTTCCAGCATCTAGAAGCTTTTGCTCCCACCCTAGCGTCTTCCTTCCCTGTTGAGGTCTCAGCTGCTTCTCTGCTTCTCCCGAAAGCTGACTCAGGCACCACTGCACCCCCATGGAGCTGGGTCTCTGAGCCAAGCCTGGATCTCCTGTTCTGCCTCTATTTGTCCCAGAGTGGCTTCCACGTTCAGTCCACGGTAACAAATGAAGGTCTGGGCGACGTCCTCTCCCCTTTCTCTGACAGGTCAGAGGAAGCCTATGGGGTGGGGGAGTCAGGAGAGCAGATTTCTATTCGTTATTTCCACTGCCAGTGAGCGCATGGAGGTGGGTAACCTCCGAAGAGGAGGAGAGAGGAGAGACGCTGTGCTAAGGAGACTCACTGTGCTAAGTTCTTTATATGTACAAAATAAACTTCAGCAGTCTTCAGGATTCTGCACTATGACTGGGTTTGGAAGGGAACTGCTGAGACAGGAAGAAGAACTGGACGTCAAGGAAGCAGCTCTCTGCAGTGTAAGCGAGAGAACAGAATGATTCCAGGTGAGGTCCAGGCTTTTAGATTGAGGGCATTTTTCAGGTCCTGGACCTCTCGGGGTGGACAAGAAGCACAGTGTAAGACTGATATTCAGGTGTCACAACAGAATCACTGTCAGTCTCCTTCAATGAACTGGCATCTGGCTATTGCCTGGGGAATCTATAGACAGCCCAGCTTCATTAGCAATAATAAAAGTTGCACTGTGCAATCTACAGGATCCTGCTTAGACACGTATGCTGCTAAGAAAGAGAAGCTAAATGGCGCATAACCTATGACCATGAACTTGAATGACAAGGACTCCTCTTCTTTGAAAGTGCATTCAGTTCTTAAAAGGAAGTTTCTTTAAAATACATTCGCGTGGTGGCACTAAGGTCAGCAGATCCTGCGCTGGTGGGTCTCCTCTAAGCATCCTTTCCATCATGTGACAGCTGTTCTGGGTCTGCTAGTTTCAAAGTGGGCTTGAGACTCTTCCTATAAAACCCAAAGTGTTCAGCCCTCCACGTAGGTGCTCCTGTGCCTCCCCAGCCACACACCCAGGCTTCCTAACCAGAATCCCCCAGGAAGGTTTACCGGTCTGCTTGAACACCTAGCCCAGGTGACTCAGAGCAGCGCCTGGGATCTCTAAGCTTACTTCAACCTGCACTGACTGCGCCCTTTGCCAGGCCCCAAGCTTTTGTACCCTGTTCACTGCAGTTTACCCTGGACTGCAAACTTCCCTGGGTGGAATGGAGCTATGCTCACAGAATCCCAGTCCCTTGGCCTCCCAGTGATTATGAGAGGTAGCTGACACTGATAGGGTCTGTGGTGGAGGAGTCCGAGGCCCTAGGAGGTCAGCCATCTGCCACTTTCAAGCAGCCAGGGGCCTGGGACTGAGATTCGAAAGTGTATCTGGGTGATTTTAGGACCCACATTACTGTTCCACTCCAGTATTTGCCCCCCAGGAGAAGGCAGGGGAGGGCTATTTTGAAGATATTCCAGACACTAATTACATGTGCAGATGTACACACAAATGTGTGTTTATCATGCTCCTCCAAATACATCGCACGTCTGAGTGACAGAGAGCCAACCATTCCTATGGTCACTATGCACTGAGGGTGGGAAGCCACATGGTCTCAGGTGCTGTGTGTGTACAGTTTCTGGTTTCTTATTACCACATTGCAAGATAAACTAAGTTCTCATTTTACAAATAAGAAAACAGGAGCTCAGGTCAAGTAATTTTTCCCAGGGCTGCACGGTCCATTTTTTTTCTGATTTGCTACATATAAGAGGTTCATAGGCTGGGGCTGTAGCTCATTGGCAGAGTGCTTGCCTAGTATGTGTGAGGCACTGGGTTTGATCCCTAGCACTGCATAAAACACTAAACAAATAAAGGCATGCTGTCCATCTTCAACTATAATTTTTTTTAAAAAAGAATTTCATGATTATTTATCTCAACCCTTTCATTCAACAGATGAGGAAAAGGAAAGCCAAAAAGTTTAAATAACTTGTAAGACCAGCCAGCTAGTGACAGCTCAGTTGACCCAGAGCAATCATGGGCATATTTAGTCCAGGTCACTGGATATTAAACAGTTTTTTTGAAAGTACAATTTAATTTAAAATTAATTTCATCAAAGGCTATTTTTGTTTTTTTTAAATTTTATATTAAGTACTTCTTCAGCAATCAGGACCACAAAATCAAAATGACTAATACTTTCATCCCTACAGCCTGTTCTGGAGAGAAAAAAATCTATTTCTGAAGTTCATGGCCACAGACTTGGAAACATATTTAAAAGCTTCTCAATTAAAAGCAAGAGAAGGAAGAGGGTAGGGTTGGCTATTAGTGAAAATGTGCAAGTTGTCTAGAGTTTTCCTTTGTGTTTTTCGAGATCTGCACAAGGCTGATTTTATCATGATGGCATTTCTAATTTAAAGAAGAGAAAGCAAAGGCCCTGGGTCTGATCCCTACAGGAATGGCCTTGTCCCACAGGAACAGGGCTCTGGGAGGGCCAGCGGCTTTTCTCACTGCAACTGTCTTCGCCTCGCCCTCCGTACCAGCTGGCACAAAAGCCCGGGCACGGGGGGGGGGGCATCTGAAAGGCTGTAGATAAGTGAAACTTCCCTCTTTTCCTCCCTTGCAGAACATTTCCATCTGACTGGGTCAGAGAAGGAAGTCAGGATAGCAGTGATTTGGTTTTAATTCCTCTTAAGTTCACAAGGTTTAATAATCCACTAAATAAAGGTGCCAAAGGCAGCCAGCATGATAAGGTCCTTGGCTGGGAGATGAATTCATGTTGTCCTGAGGATGGCTTCCGTGGGGAGACTGGTCGAGCAGGTACGCAGAGGGAGCTTAGCGGCTTCCCCACTGGGCATCACAGGATGGAGCTGTTGGCAGGTGGAGTTTCACCCTCCTGTGACATTGTGAAAGGCACAGACAGCGGCTGCCCTTAGCTGCTTCTGTGGCAGGCAGACTTGGGTTTGGCTGCAGCATGTCCTCTCGATTTATTTCTAAGATGTGGGTGCTGCTCTAATTTGCATTTCACAAGTAAGGGAAGCCGGAGAGGTGAACTGGCGCTCAAAGCCAGGTCTGTCCAAACGCATGACTCTTGGTCCTCGGTCCATCACCTGCGGCGTCTGCTGTCCAGCATGTGTGGTCTGTTGCACCACCAAGTGTGCTGCTCGGGCTCACACGCAGGGACAGCCTTGCCCTGGCACGACTGCAGCCCCCGCTGCTAAAGCCGAGCCGAGTTCCCCTGGTGGCTTCTGTCAGTGACGGAGTACGGTGGGGCACACTGAGCCATCTGGCTAGGGTGGACTCTCCATGTGGGCAGTCAGACTGTCGGATTCCTTGGTTGGGCCAAGATGCACCACCCTCCGTCCAGCCCTCTCTCTCCTTCCTTCTCATCCACCGCAGGTGTCAGCCCTCACCTGGGCTCAGCGCTCTCCAGCTCCCCTGCACCCTCCGCGAGCCATCACAGGCAATTTCCTTTAAGAAACCTCTAGGATGTTACTTCTGCCTTGGTGTGTGCTTCTTGAAGGGCCAGTACTTAATATAATTGCCATTATTATATAACACTTTCCTTTAATTGTTCCTTTTAAAACTAAATACATTTATTCTCGCCCTGAGCAAAAATGCATGTTAAATCCCAAGTTTAATCTGCTACCTTTATTTCCCCCATACACGTGTGTGTATGTACACATATACACATAGGTACACATGTACACACACAGATATGAATGGATAGATGATAATTATTTAATTAAATGTACAAACATGGGTCACTGAGGTCATCTCTCTCGTCCCTAATATATGCATTTAACACATCAGAAATTGTTCCCTACATTATGTTGCTAGTAAAAGACTTTTAAAAATAAGTAATGGTGATTAGGGAGAAAGAAGGATGGGAAACAGAAGGTCAGTTGACCTCTTCCAAGGTTTCCACGAATTATTGGACTCTGTGTTCTGAGAAGAACCTGAAAGGAAGATTTCTGTACAACAGGAAACAGACTGGAAAGACGCTCCGAAGTCCAGCTGGATTCTGGACAATAGGGTGAAACCGACGCCACAGTGACATCTGGATCTGTCGTCTGCTCTGCACAGTGTGCCAAGTGGCACAGACGTTTTAACGAAACTGCTAAGTTGGGGTTTCTCGGCTCTATGAATTTCCACCCCCCACCAACTTCTTGCTTATCTTTTGGCCGAATTTAAGCCAGGAAGGAGTGTCCTGGACATGTGTGGCAGCTGGGGCCTGCTGAGCACAGTGAGTCAGGAGTGGCTCTGGGGACTACTCAGCCCCACCCACCACTTCCTGGCAGAGCACATACCTCCCGCACGTTAATTTCAGAAGGGGAAACTATCAGATAGTGGTTTGACTTTTCCTGCCCCAGAAAACAGTCTGCGCTTGCACTGGTGGTGACCTGGTGGACACACTGGCTTTCTCAAAGGAGAGTGGCTCCTGATGACTGACTCTAGCTGAATGGGAAGGGATGACACGGAGGCCATTTATCCACCAGGACAGGCAGGATAACTCGACATCCCAGAAGGTTCACAAAACCATGGAAGACCACAACCCTTTCTCAGGAAGCCAAGTCATTCAAAGAATGAGAAATTCTACTTGTTCATTTCAGTTTCTTTCCCACGAAACACCTGTTCATAAACACGATAGGCATTTCATTCTTCCTGGGAGTACAGCAGGGTCCTTGGTTCAATGGCAAGTGGAGTCGCATTGGAGAGGAAAGCAGAAGGGAGGAGGAGGAGGAGGAGGAGGAGGAGGAGGAAGGTAGGAGAAGGGGAGGAAGAGGGGAGGAGGAGGAGAGGAGGAGGAGGGGAGGAGGAGGGGAGGAGGAGGGGAGGAGGAGGAGGAGAAGCTGCTATACTTGGTTGAGTACAGCAACTGGACCAATAGAAATAGATTCTCAAGTCATCTTAGCCCCAAGGACTCTGCAAACTTTTAAAATCCAACTTACCTTTTTCCAAAACAGTTTGCCCAGAGGCAGAGAGGTGGGTCCTGACTTCTCCTTGCTGCCTTCCTTGGAGGCTTCAGGCCTGGTCACGGACTGCACGGCACCTGAAGGGCTGCAGCCTTTAGGGCTCCTGGCTGTCCCTGGGGTCTCCTGGGGTGTGAAGTTGGTTTTGTCTGACTTGAGGTTGGCCGAAGTGGTGGGTGACTTCTCAGCATCCTGAAGAGTTTTAAAAAAGCGGGTGAGGATTCAAAAATGAAAGATCTCTTCTTTGTACCCCTGGGCTCAGGTGGTACATAATGGTAATATTTTTTTTTCTTTATAATTTTCTGTATTTTCCAAATTTCAACTGTGAATATGAATTTTTTAATTCATATTTTTAAATATGAATTAAAAATCTCGAAGAAATTTGATATATATATATTTTTCTTTTGGAAAACAACCAGAGGATCATTCATGTAGCTTCTGTGAGTGACTCTAGGGGTAGCGGGAAGGGACACTTTGCTGCTAGGATTTTGCGCTGGCTCCAAGTGCTTTTGATCATCTTCTCCTTGGGACACACTTCACACACCCCAGTGCACGCACATTTTTTGAGAAATATTCTATCATCATAAGTGGGTTTACTAATCCAAATGGAAAGTTAAGGAAGGGTGACGATAAATATAATTCAATAGAACCTCTGAAATTCCTTTCCCGCGCTCCACTTTGGAGATCACAATCCAGCTCTGAGGTATAAGGCAGCTGGATTGAGCTTGGTGAAGGGGTTTTGAACTGCATGTGTCCACGAAGGAATTCTCTGCTTTTAGGTCCAGCCCCGTGCTCCACAGTGGAAACATCTTCAATGTCACTCCTTTTGTCCCAACTCCCTCTCTCCCTCCCAACCTCTTCCCCTTCCCCTCATCTCTGGTTCTTTCCCTCCTCCCTCTCTCTCCCTTTCCCTCCTCCCTCCCTCTCCTCCCTCTCTCTCCCCTTTCCTCCTCCCTCCCCTTACTCTCTCCTCCTCCTCCTCCTCCTTCCTCCCACTCTGTCCTCTCTTCTTGCTCATCTTCCTCGCACCCTCCCGATCTCTCTCTTTCTCCCCACATGACTGTGTTAAAGTCTGGTCCTAAGATATCTGATATCTGCAGGGAGGTGCTATTAATTCCTATGCTCTGTCTCCCGTTGAGTCACTGGATAAAGAATGATGGTCACATTTTTTTTTTTCTGGACACGAATGAATACTGGCATTAAAAACTCTAATACCAGGTTGATCTGACCTGACTTCTCCACCCTAAGCAGCTTCACTTTATGATTTTGGATCTGGGGCGATTTGTGACTCAACCCTCTTAAATTCCCAGGGCTGTCGTATCTTCAACTACATTTTCTGACTAAAAGAAAAAATAGTCTGGTGTTGAAAATGGGGTGTGGACAAATACAGGAAGTTTCATAGTATTTTTGGTACTGGACCGAGTCTTAAAGTCCATCTGGCACAGTATTTAAATTTTCAGATAAGGAAAGCAAAGCCCGAGATCCACTGGACCAGGTGTGTAGCCCGGCCTCACGTCTGGACTGCTGACCTTGTCCCTGTGCTCACACACAGCACGTGGGCTCCCTGAAGGGTGTGTTCAGTAACACGAATCCACTATCTGGTGCAGGATGTGACATCTCGCCCAGGTTCTGAGTTGTTTACTGAGCAAACTCTAAGATCAAATCAAGACAAAGGAGTAGAGCGTAGAAATGGTACTAGGATAACCCAGTTCCATTCAAGATATGCAAAGTGCATAATGCTAGAATTTAAAATAACTTCTGCATTTTATAGAGAGTGAACTCGCGATTACGATTCAGCATTAAGAATGCTTCAAATGTGCTTGGGCCCCTGGTACTATTTTAGCCCTAACTGGCCATTAAATTCAAGGGGAAGCACCCACCCATCTCCTAAGCAGCTTGTTTTCTTTTTTCAGAAAAATATTAGGAAATATCATCTATTCATTGACAAACACATTCCGTGCTTTCCACGAGCCATGGCGTGTGCGGAGTACCAGGGCTACGCGTCCTCTTGGAGAGAACGACAGTGAATAAATAATTCCACAGGTATGAAATTTCAAGTGGGAAAAGTGCTGGAGGAGTAGGAGGATCGGTCCACCCAAAGACAAAAGAAAGCACTTCCAAACACTTAAAGCAAGAATTGCAGCCACATGTGACAACCAGGAGGGCTTTACTCAGGAAGGGATGGTTGCTTTGGCCTGGAGGTGGCTGGAAATCACAGGGAGGATCTGCCCTAGCCCCTCTGTCAAGGGGACCCCTTTTCTTGGGGGTGATCATCAAGATTGGACATTAACAGGGTCTGTGGCCATGCAAAGGGTCCCAGAACATAAGCGGATTCACAGTGTGTCTGTGGTATTAAATTCCACTGGGAGAAATGTGGTGAGGAGAGCTTGTCCAGAAACCTTCACGCAGGAGCTGACGATGGGAGGGTGGCTGAGCAACACGTCTACCCTGAGGGGCTTCCCTGGGAGGTGCCCCTCTCCTCCTGCTGGGTGCACCCAGAGACCATGGGCATGATAGTAACATGATAATTCTTTCTTTTTTTCTTTTTTGGTACCTAGAATTGAATCCAGGGGCTCTTAATCACTGAGCCACATCCCCAGCCCTTTTTAATTTTGAGACAGTGTCTTGCTAAATTGTTAGGGCCTCGCTAAAGTGCTGAGGTTGGCTTTGAACTTGTGATCCTCCTGCCTCAGCCTCCCAAGACACTGTGATTACAGGCGTGCACCACTGTATCCGGTTGTAACATAACGCCTCTAATGCACTTGTGTAACCGTTGGTTGACTCTGCATCTCCCCTGCTAGACTTTGAGCCCCTTGAGGGAGAGAGGGTCTTGATCTCTATGACACCCTAGCTCCACTTGGGACCAAATCCTGGCACAAAACTGATGTTTACTCACTGACTAACTAAATGAAAGAGGCCAGAGTGAGGTACTCACAGGATGCGGCTGTATCCAGCTTCCTGACTCTAATGTCCATTCATCTTTTCATCCCTGCCCACTCATTTCCTTATGTCCCAAAGAAGTTCCTCAAATGGTGTCCATCCAAATGTTCATTAGCCAAATTAATAGTCTTTGTTTGCATTATGGGAAAGGCTACAAAAACTCTAACCATGTTTTCAGAGGCAATCTCATGAATGGGGTTACCAGATTTAAAATGAAAATGAAAATATAGAATGCCCCATTAACTTTGAATTTCAGATCAGCAAAGAAAAAATTTCTAGCTTCAATATGTTCCCAATATCTTGCTGGACATATTTAAATTTATATAAAATGATTTCTTTTTTTTTTAATCTGAAATTTGAATTTAATGGGACACTGCATTTTATCTGGTGACTGTACCCAGGAAACTCTAATGGAGCAGATAGGAATATTACACAGAAGTGGCCTTACCTTCTGAGTAGGTTTTCATGTCATTCACACATGGAGTATGGGAGAGAGGAGGTGTTAGGAAAATGGAGACTTCACAAAAACCAATGAATGAGTGGCAGAGCTGACATCACCTGAGCCTGCTACCTCACTGAGGCGTCCCTGAGAAAGCCCAGGAGAGGGCCAGCGTTTCAGGCAGCACAAGAACATTTTAAAGCACACCTGCCTCGCATGCTTGGAGGACACAAGATGAAGTGCCACTCTGAGGCTTCCTATGCGACAAAGGCAAAAACAAAGACTCCGATTCAGCAAAGGAAAGCTGGTGCTTCGCTTTATTTTGGTTTAAAAGGAAAACCTTTGGTTTATGAATTCCAGCTTCCCCATTTTTTTTAACCAAGAAAATTCTTTTTTTTTTTTTTTTTTAGGAAGGAAAATTGCACTGGAGAAATGAACACAGAAGTCAACCAGATTTCTCACAGCAAAACTAGAAGGTAGCGCTTTCTCCTCTGATGCCTGGATTCCCCTTTTCTGCCTGAGGTCACTATCCCACCGAACCCCAGGGTACCGCTCCTCTGCTAATTATGCAATGGGAGTCATGGATAGGACCCAGTTGGTCATTTAAATAACACCGTTTTCTGTGTACAACTGAATAATCAAAAGATGTAAAGAAATAATCTGTCCTAGATAGAGGTAATAGCTGAACTGCTGCATAAATGAGATTTCAGAACATTTGGGAATAGTCCCCTTACTTTATTTCATATTTACATAAAGAACACACTGGAGGTACCTCCAGGAGAGACCTTGGAGTCTGCATGTCTGTATTATGGGATCCATATAAAGGATGTCCTCTACGTTTTCCCCAGGGTCCTGAATCCTGTCCTTCTCCCCACTGTACCTCGGGGCAGGATGCAAGGCCAATGACTTCAGGGAACCCTAGAAATAACAACATTGAACTTGGACAGTCCACATATGGATAGACAGAGATCTATACAGAGTGAAGGCAAACGAAGTGCAGATCTGGCGAGGGAGACACACACTTCCTAAGCTTTCCACGAGAGCGCCACATGGGAGCTAAACCAGGTTCCGTGGCATGAAGCCCATGATGTGTTTCACTGGCCATTACTAAGCTCTCACATGCCCAAGTGGCCCCACCACCCTAATGTTCCCTCCCTCATTGCAATATCTACTGCTGCCTCTCTTTCTTTCTTTACTGAACAAAATAAGTCTGTCTGGAGACTGAAGGGTGGCTTCATAATGTGTTGCTTATGCAAATATAGATTCAGCTACAAGAACTTTCTGTGGGGCTTTTATTTGCATACACAATCCTGGGACTATCATATCCAGCTGGGGAAGTTTTTTAATAAGTTCATTCAACTTGATGGAGAATGGTTGATATTTTAAAGAAATTTCCAAGCTTGAGGACCCAATTCAGAGATCTTTTTAATTGATGGTTTCAGGCACACACTGGCATATTCTTGGACATTAGAAGAGTAACATCTCTAAAACTGGCTTCATATTATCCTGATTCCACCCCACACCACACACATGGAGAAATAACTCGCTCTGCCTTCATTCATTGCTTTTGTTTTTTCTTGCTTGGGCTTTTATGTGAATTTAGTGTAAACTTTGTTAACACTGGAAATGGATGGAACAGACACACAAAGGTAAAATTGTTATCTTCAGGTTAGAAGAGTGTTTCCCAAAATGCAGGCAGCCTACCACTGCAGGGCTAGAGGTAATGTCAGGTTGCATGGAAATACGCTATTCAGTAGCATTCAAACAGTAAAATACTTTTCCAACTTTCATATCATCTAATAACAGTCCAGGGAAAGACAGGCTCAGCCTGGTACTGGTGTGGCCTTAATATTCTACACCACTGGCCAGTGGCTTTCTAGTAAAGCTAGCGAGGGCACTGTGCTAGAGCTTCATGCAAACGAGGTAGCATGAAGTCAGGATCCTTTAAGGAACCTTATTAAAGGTTACCCTGCTCTTAGGAGAAGATTCTGGTTCTCATGTATAATGGAAGTCAAAGTTTCTTTTTAAGATACATTTCATTGGACATGGTCAATTTCTATATAGAAATATCAAGTGATTAATATGACCTCCAACAAAAGTGGCCAACACAGTTTGCATGTGACTGGCGTTTGGGAAACACTGGGTGAGAGTAACTGCAGAACCCTGGTCCACTCTCAGAAAAACCCCCACCTTCGATGTTGAGAGCTATGGCAACTTGAAACCATTCACTGATGTTGAGTCATGTCATTTCCAATCTCCCTTTAATGATCTCAGCCACAGGAGGCTCTGTCTTCACTAAGGCACAGGTGGCGGGCACAGGGCCTGTGTGCCTGGCACGGTGAGGACCAGGGTTCTTCTTTCTGCTAGTTTAACGGGATACAGACCTTATGTCTAAGCAATTTCCTAAAGGCGAGGCCCAGCCGGGGGCTCTCCAGGTGCTTCTTCTTGCTGCCCTTCGCCTGGGTCTCAGATGTCTTCTGACCCACTTGCCCATCGCAGATGCTTTCTGCTTTGGAAGCCTTGCGGGCAACAGCATTCGCGGCTTAGAATTTTGCTTTTAAACAAAATCTAGTTTTCTGTTGTTTTGAGGTGCATGAATACACTGTGACAATTAGCTGCTGGCATGTTACTGCCATCTCCCACCCATACGACACGAGAACATTATCTTTTTAAGATGCTTTGGTAAAGAGCATATTCACAATTTCAGGCACACATTGCTTTTCAACAGAGTGACCTATTTAAATGACCCAGATTAACACATCTCAAAAAACCCTACAACCAAAACTAAACTACCCACTCCCCACCCTGTCCATATTCGCTAAAGACAGTAGTAGGGTAATTAGACTGTAAAATATCAAATGAAAAGTAAATAATTAAAAAAGATAACATAGTCTATTTAATAGTGTTAAATATCTAAATGCTATTGTCACATGGGAAGGACTAAAATAGTCCTGCTGAGCCACTGGACATGGTTGACTCCAGCTACAAGCAGTGTGAGAGTTTCTGTGAGTACTTAGTGTGCTGAGAATCACCCGGAACCAAATGGGACAAGGTTACACACCTTTCAAAGGCGCAAATTCAAGAACTAGACTAGAAAAAGATGTCCAAAGGGCAAGGTATGAGAACAGGGTTTTAGGAAAGAGGTCTAACTGTGGGTGTCAAGGACAACCTAGATGAAAGGCCCTCATCTGAGACCCAGGTGAGCAGCAGGGACCCCACAGCCTTCTGGGGAAGACCATAAGATCTGATCAGCCAGGCATGTTTGGTTGGGAGCACATCTGGGTCATGGAAGGGTCTTGGTACAAGAGCAGCTGAAGAGAATGAGTGTCCCAGGTCACTTGGGGAGCCACACAACACACCCACATTCCCCACTGTTTATGGCCACTGTGCTGACTATGTCTCTTCAAACAAAGCAAAACACAGAACCAAAAGAGAAACAATTGACCCAATCATTCATTGAACTTGACCCTAGCTGCCTTGTAGGAAATGAGTAATTTTAAGGAAAATGCATGTCGATGCCTTGGAAATCTACTTTTCAATGGGATAAGGAGGAACTCAATGAGTATAAATCAAAGGTAATCACGCCGTCCAACCTGGCTTGGATGTGACATGGAAGCAGGAGTCACCCACATTTGAATAGAGCTCTGCCCTATCACACCTTCTCTCAGTCCCGGGGGCTGGGAGAAAGTTTTACTGTCCCAGTTTTACATATGTGGAGACTTGATCCAGACAGGTCAGGATCACACCAGTATCTAGTTGCGAAATCTGAGCTCTAAGAGGTCTTCTGAGGCCAGACCTCGCACGCCTTGTCTCGGCTTAGCTCCTCGGGATATAAGCAACAGATGTAGCAGGGGGGCTAAGCCATTTATTTCGTCCCAGTATCTTTCAAAGGACACAAGACAGTTATCTGTTACCAAGTTAACCTTCCCTCGAGGTTCCTCATGAAATTTAAACCATGTGCTCCGCCAGAGGTGACCCGTCCTGTCAAGTGCAATGGGAAAACACCTCTAAGAAAATAGTGGCTCAAGTCACATTTATTTTGAGGAGAACTGGTTGAATTTCTAGGGAGAAAGTGGAAACTCCAGCCTCCCCACTCCTACTTACATGGCTTTCCACTTGGCCTATGTCCCGTGGCTACTATATTATTTCAAAATGGTCTTTGCAGTAGAGATTTATTTTTTTTGAAACAAAGAACACATTTTCTTTCTTTTTTTTTTTTTTTACAAAAAACAAAACTCTGCATCTTTCTCCTACTTTAATGGGGTCTTTTTAAACTATATTCCCTGGGTCTCTATACATAACAAAAAAGACTAAGATGATGGTATAATTTTTAGTATTCGTCTCTTATTCTACATAAGAAATCGGTTATTCCCGCCATTATGTACAACTCTAATGCACCAATAGAAATGTGGAAGAAGAAAGAAATTGGTTATTGTGATATTATTTAACAAAAATTGTAATATGACTTAAGTTACTCACTACATTTTCATTATAATACCATTAACCTAAATGATATATTTAAAAGACAATCCAACAGCACTAAGTTGCTAACTATTTATGTCCATATATGTGTCTGTACATATATATAACATATAAAGGACACGCACATCATACAGAAAACAAATAAGCAGACTCCCTCTAAATCCAATTCTGTGCACAAACCCATACTTCAAAGGACCTACCGTATCTTCTGGATCTTTTTTTGTTTCAGCTTTGTTAGGTGACACCTTAAAAGTTTGAGAAAATCAAATGTTAGAAATCATAGCTCTTTGGGGTGATTTTTATTTCATAATTACATCACTGTTTAGAGTGGTCCAGTTTACCACACTGGCAAAGCAAGAAATAAGAAGTACTTTTAATTCAGTAGAAACCCAAGGACCTCTGGATAATAAAAAGCTCACCAAATTATAATTTAATAATGAAATGCATCAGATTATTTTCATTTACCATAAGTTTGACCACTTTCAAAATTGTCTCCTGGAAGGCCCAGTTCCCAACGACTCCATCCACTATTACTCCACAAGCAGGGCAACCCTGTGGTGCTAGGGGCACATTCTGTTGACTTTTTCTTTCATTTTATCTTTTGAAGCTAGTCTTGATATCTGCAGATAGCCCAAACACTTTTGTGGCTGTTCTTTTCTTTGTATGCATCAAGCCATTCAGCTCTTCTTTGAGTGTCTGGCATATGTCAAGCTAGAGGGTTCTGCCCTGGGGTGGTCAGAAATGAGCAAGCAAAGCAAAGACATGGTCCGTGTCCCCATCTAATGAAATCGGGAAAGGTAGATGTCACAAGATGGACAGCAATTTCTACAGCGTTTTACTTGCCATTTGAGTGAGAAAATTACTTTGCTAGGCCAACAGCTCAAGGCAGTATTTCCCAATATTGTTTATGATCAATGACCATAAGACATTAAATTGCAATAGGATTCTATTACAGTACAGCTCATGTCACGTGGTCTGGGCACCTAGTGTCCATGTCATGGCTCCCAACTCCAAGGGCTCTCTCCCTGGAAGCCTGATGAACACGTTCCCACAGGAGGCACTTTCTCTCTGTTCTCTCATGTTCCAGCTGTGCCAGGATGGTAATCCATTCAGGACAGCAGCATTCAACTACTTACAAGTAGCACAACTTCTGGGCAATAGAAATGGGGAAAGAAAGGAAACTACTCACCAGAGTTTTGAAGAAACTCATGATGGAATTGTTACTCTCTGTTGTATTTGTTGCCTGGGAGTCGTCCTTTGCAATCTCCAGTCCTTCTGGGTCCCCAGGGACAGAGTAATTCAAAGTTTCAACCTCTTGTCCTTCTGTTTCCTTGCTGTCAACTAGGTCCTAGGAGCAAAACAGAGTTTTCACAGCTGCGACTTGTTGAATGTGGACTCTCAAAGCAATTCCTTTTCTCCCTTACCCCCAATTCCAGCCATACTTCTTCTGCCCACGGGCGTACAGAACAATCAGGAGCTTATGAGAGTCCCTCTTCCTTCCCTTCCCCCTCTTCCCAACATATTCAGCATTTGCAGTTGGTTGGAGGGACACTGTTTGGTGCCAGAGGGTAATGAACACAGCAGTGTATGGTGCATTCCAACAAAACCCCTTCACTCCCAGTTCTGCAAAGAGACTGTGTAAGATGCTAATGTTTTCCACCTTCCTGGTCACCTTGACTAATGATTTGTACATCAGCCCCAGAGATGGCTCTGTCTGACTTCCCACAACCTTTGCAGTAATGAATCATATCAACCAAAGGAAAGAAAAAAACAACCAACCCTGGTGTTTCAAAATAATTGTTCTGCCTTGCAGATCTGGGAGTTTATCGGGGCCAGGGATGTGACATGCAAATAAATTCTCTCCTCTGACTTGCTAGGGAGGAAGGATGCATTCTGAACCTGACTTCCTTGCCCCTTTGCACCTCCCCAACCCTGGGCAAGACCTGTCATCTCTCTGCCTTATGATTGCCAAGGCCCCCAGCCCTGTCTGCTTGGGCTCTGAGTGCCCTCAATCCATTCTACACATCCCAGGCCCCATCCTCCAGTCCTTCCCTGCTCCAGTGGCCTCCCCTGGCCTGGGAGTTGGCCCATACTCTGACACAGCCTCTCGGGCATCCTAAGGTATGGCGCACATCAGAGACCACCCCCCTCACTAGTTGCTGCTTTTCCCTCTCCATTTATTTTGAATGAATTCTCTTGGAGTTTCTTAAACATACTTGTCATGGTTAAGTTGAATTGTCAACTTGATTGGATTAAGAGATGCTGAAGATTAAGAGGCTTCTGGGCGTGTCGATGGAGGGTGTGTCTAGGAATGATTGGCATGTGGGATAGCGAACCGAAGTGGAGATCCTCCCTAAGTGTGGGCAGCACTGTCCAATAGGAAGGTGGCTTGGATGGAAAAAAAAGTTGGAAGATCAAGGAAGCAGCCGCAGATGCAAGCTCAGTTTTTCTTGAACAGGTTCTTGATTGCTCCTGTCATCACTTGAGGACATCAGACTTGCTCCTTCACTCTTCCAAAGCGGACTCTGCCAGGGATTTTCTAGAAGTCTTCAGTCTAGGACTAGGATAGCACTGTTGATTCTTCTTGTCTGAGACTTTAGCCTCTTGGACTGCACCGCTTCTAGTTCCTCCCTGTCTCCGGCCTGCAGATGGCCATTGTGGACTCTCCAGCTTCTGGACTGTAGGCCAATCTAATAAATTATTTTTTATAATCATACTTCCTGTTAATTCTGTTCCTCTAGAGAACCCTGACTAACACAATACTGCAAGCAATTTCCAACTTCACGGCTCTTTGTCTGGAACATTCTGTCCCTCTGTGTGCCTGTCAGTAATTCGCATTCATCCTTCAAGTCTTAAGTGTCTCCTTTTTCTGGGAGTCCACTCCTAAAGAGCCGTCTTAAGCTCTCCTTTGCTCACTGTCTTCTGCCTTCTCCACCTTTGCTGTTGGCATCATTGCTTACAAGATCAGCACCGCCCCATCCACCATATCATGCCAGAAGGGAGGTGCAACAGAGACAGGGATTTCTCAGGTATTGAAGACAGCAGGGCCCAGAGAAGTCATTTTATTAATATGTACTATTTGACTTCTGAATAAACAAATGGAAGAAATGGAAATTTTGCATAAATGAGAGGGGCTCTCATATCAACTTGCTTGTGTAATAACAGAACAGAGGCTATTGCATCCTTTCTTTCTTTCTTCTTCTTCTTTTTTTTTTGTGTGTGTGTGGTGCTGGGGATTGAACCCATGGCCTTGTGCATGTGAGGCAAGCACTCTACTAACTGAGCTATAGCCCCAGCCCCCATTGCCTCCTTCCTGTGTGCCTCCTGTGGTTTTCATTCCCTGGTTTGGTTGCACGGTAGCCTTATTGCTGGGCATTTTCAGGATTCACAGTTTCACATCTGGAGTATCAGAGGCTGCTACTATCGGCATCTTTCACTTTTAGTTTTAATCCCTCCTGTGTATCTTTTCTTTGAACAAATGGCCCAAAGTAAATTTCTGCATCCAGAGGCATGCAAATTTTATAACTTGATAAACACTCTTGTAAAAAATATCGTAAGATTTCACTAGGAAGATTTCCTACTTGTATGTGTCTGCATCTGATTATCTGTCTGGTGCACTAGTAGGGGTGGCAGTGATACCTCAAACATGTCCAGGGCAGGCGGGGCCACCCTGGGGGCTGTGGTCTGGCAGTGGAGCTTGGTCAGCAGGTGGGTGGAGTGAGGGAGGCCAACTCCATTCTTACCTGGCCTGAGCATCCTCTCCCTTCCACCCCGGTGCAGTCCTGTCCTTCATCCCAAGGCCTTGAGTTTCTGGCCTTCCCAAGCCATGCCACGCCCCCATTGCTGTTGGTTCCCTAATTTCCAGGAGAATGGAAGGGAAGCCCTTTGTTTCTACGTGGGGACTTCTAACAGTGCTCAGCGTGTGAGGTGAAAAGCCCATGGAAGACCTGACATCTCTGTCTATGTTGACTACTTCCTCCAACGGTGGAGAGCGGAGTGGGGCAGCTCTGCCCAGTATCCCAGTGTTATACTTCCTGGAAGATTCTGGAAACTCCGTGTAAGCTGATATGGTTGACTATCCAACCAGCAAAAACAATTAAATTCAAAGCAATTTCAAATTATGAAGCACTGCATGTGTCCTCTAGTTTCTGAGCTAATACGATTCAAATATGATTATCTAATCTTAATATATTATTATATGTTATAGAATGATATGTATTGTCAAATATTTTGCATTCACAACACCCACTGTACAAAATGCAAGCCACTGTACAAAAAATGCATTAAACACAAGTTATTTAAACTTTACAACTATTTTCTGAGATAAATGTTACAATTTACAGTTTTTCCAACAATGACATGAAGCTCAGAGAGGTTCAACAACTTGTCTGAGAGGAGAATGTGGGAATTCTGACTCAGGACTGCTGGAACTGGACGTCTGAAATATTACCATCCATCTTCCCCTGCATGCAAAATTTAAGTAGCAAAGCAGTCATCTTCAATGTCATGCTGGGAAACTGAGATCCTCATAAAGAGTGTATATAAGTATATACTAAATCCATAAATTCTCAGAAGATCTTTCAAAGCTTAAGTCTCCCAAGAAGTACAGCACTTAGAATTGTGCACACCCCATTGCCTGTATTTCTTGAACAGTGCTTCTTTATGAAGCATTCCAGAGTCTTAGTTATCAGGTGCCTTCTGGAATCTGCTACGTCCTTTAATCTCTGCAGAGACTGTGAAGAGCATTTCACAGATGAGGAAACTGGGGTCCAAAGAGGAGTAACAGCATGTCCAAGGCCACACTCCTAGCAGGTACAATTGGTGGGTGACTGTGGTCCTGCCTGTCCAGCACTCTTTACCCCTTGTGACTACAGGACCCTGCTCATCCCTAGGGAGTGGTCCCCATTCATCCCCATCCACACCTTTGCTGACCTGTGTTCTTCTCTGGTCACTCTACTGAGATGGCCTCAGCCTTCTCGCAGCTCTTCAAACACTACAAACAGGCTCCTGCCTCAGTGCCTTTGCATCTGAGCTTCCGCCTGCCCTGCATCTGAGCACTCCACCTCACGTCCTTCAAGTCCTTCCCAAATGTCACGTTTTTCTTGAGGACTCTCCTCACCTTCTACCTTAAATTAGCCACAGCTCCTTCCCAGAATGCCCTGTTGGTGCTCACTGTCTTATTTTTATTCTCCTGGCAAAGTTCACTTCTAATGGGTCACTGGTTCCCCTCCTCCAGGGGACATGTGGCAGTGTTGGAGATGTTGGTTGTCACAGCTGGAGGGTGCAGTGGCTGTACTGTATAAAATATTCACCTGCTTATTTTGGTTTTGGGGTTTTTTTCCAGAGTAGAAAAACAATGAAGGTGGGAGTTTTCTTCCTTTTCTCCCCTGTATTTCTCCTGCACCTGGCAGATGCTCAGTAATTAGAAATGGACGAATGATGCTAATGAAACTAGCTACCTTCAGCTTTTATCATTACATCTTCAGATATCCTGTCGTCTCCTTTCCCCTCTCCTTCAGGGACTCCAAGTGCGCACATTCTCGTCTCCGTGGAGTCACTGTCCAGCTAATTGATGTCTCTTTCTTCTTGGAATTCTTCTCCCCTGTTTGCTTGTGGACAGCGCCCACAGCTGCGTCTCTAACTCCTCTAATCTGCGTTCTCCCCTCTGCTGTGAGTCTCATCCATGGATTTCCACACTCTGTAGCTTTCATCTCTAGACGTCTGATTTTGTTTTTTAAAATATATCTTCTGTGCCTCTACTCAACGTTTTAAACACAAAGAATCCATTTATCCTTTTTTTCCAGTTCTAACACCTGAGCCAGTTCTTGGTTGGTTTCCACTGACTGTTTTCTCACATCACAAGACATTTTCCTGTTTCCCTGATATTTTTTGGTGGGTTCCAGACAATGAGCATCTCCCCTGACCAGGCTCTGAATGTTGTTGGTATTTCTATAAACATCTTGGGTTTTGTGCTAGATATAATTAAAATACTTGAAAAGAGCTGATTCTTTCAGTCCTTGCATTTCAGATCTGTCAGGCAGGACCAACGCCCCATGAGGTGTAGAGAGGGCATTTCCCTGGGTGAGGATGGGTTGCCCTGAGGACTCTGACCCTGGCCTGGCCCTGCACAGGAGCGGAGAGTGCACTTCCACTTGGGGCCTTTGCACCTGTGTTAGCTTCCTCATGTGAGCGTCATCCCAGGAACTACCAAGAGCTTGGTCTCAGGGGCTGGGCTCCTCTGGCAGTGAGTAGGGGTGGTCATGGCACACGTCTGGTTCCCCGTTTCCCAGAGATCACTGGCACCTGTTGCCTGATATCCAGTGTCTTGGAAGCTGTCGTTAGATTCCG